TTGAAATGTCGCCATGAAAACATTTCACGTATGCAGGTACATGTAGCTAAATTCAAACAACGCCAATGCCGGCGAATCAAGCAAAAAGTCCTGAAGAGACTACCTTATTGAACGATCAGTTCCCACATAAGTAGAAAGCCCGTCACTTCAGACCAGCCCCACCCCTTCAATTTACTCCAAACCACGTGACCCGACTAGCCAATCACAGGCCGGCTGGACTCGGCTAGCTACTCGCGGCCCCACGAGCGGCGCGAAATTCAAACTGTCAGGACATCAACATCGTGAATGAATTGAAAAAAACCTTCACCGCTGGGGATCGAACTCGGGTCCTCTGCATTTCAAGGAAGCGTATACGTATATGATAAGACGTTATTGCAACGAAATACAATTATAATGAAATATTTTCATTATAGCGACAATATACCAAGACTCTGCGTGATAACGAAGAACCGCGAGTTACTTTTCCGCCTGATCAGTATGGTTCATTGTTCCACCGAAAGCGAACGCTCATATTCAGTACACGATGTATACTACATATACTCTCAGTACTACGAACCTTGTCAAAAGCAAACTAGACACATCATTCAAACATATTAGACAGGCCACATATGACAGATGACCTCTCTGACTGTTGATTCCGATCAATATACAGGGCGACAATGAGAAAATATACAGAGAAACTCGCTGCGAGAACTACCTACTCCAGGCATGACTAGCAAACATATATTAGACAAATATGTCGAACAACTCTCGATCAAAACTCGTGAAATTATTCTGTGTATAACTACTCTTCAAGAAAGATTCTTTATAGTCCTATATGCAAAGTCTGAAAATTCTCTAGATATCATGATACTTAGAGGCGGCAATAAAAATAATATTATAGGTATCTGGAAAGCTCCAAAGATACTAAACTGATAATGCTAAACATTTTGCATCAAACAGCTAAGGATGAACATCCTCTCACCGTCCACCTTGGAATATATCGAAAAAATCTTCTTTTTCTAGACATATCTTTCAAGTCGTCGGATGGTATTTCTACTCGAGAGAAAGCGTCTGCAACGTTTGAGTTACCCTTAACGTACTGTACTACATAATCGTATTCTTCTTAACACAAGTCGAAATTTTGTCAGTCTACTAGACGGTTGATTTAATCCATACAAAAATATAAGAGGTCTATGATCTGTCTGTATTATGAATTTGCGTCCGTATGAATATGGTCTTTAATGTTTCACTGACCAAACTATTGCTAAAAGTTCTAGTCCGATAATGCTGTAATTTATTTCTGCTTTATTTAGTGTTCTGCTAGCGTATGCAATTGGTTTGTTATCAGCATTACAAAGCACTCCAGCAATGGCAATTTTAGATGCATCCGTTTTCAAAATAAAAGTATTTTCAGCTGAGGAATTTGGGTACTGCAAAATTGGTGGTGATATCAATCTCGATTTCAACTTTTCAAATGCTTCTTGACACTCGTTTGTCCAAGTGAATTTTCCATTTTTTCGAGAAAGTTTATAGGAGATGTTATTTGAGCAAAATTTGGAATGAAAGACCTGTAATAATTAGCAAAAGCTACGAATCTTTTCGTTTCTTGAGCGTCTTTAGGTATAGGGTACTGCTGCAAAGCACGGATTTTCGATGGGTCGGGAGTTACTCCTAACGATGAAATTTTGTGACCTAAATATAGAATTTCTTTTCTGAAAAAGTTACATTTACTAGGATTGAGTTTTATATTTACTTGCCGCAGTCTATGTAAAAATTTTGTTAAAATGTTTGCTGTGATCCATCAGGCTGTTACCTAAAACAATAATATCGTCTAGGTAAACAAAACAACATTCGAAATTTAAACCTGTCATAGCCATAGTTAAGGCTCTCGAGAATACACTGGGACTAACCTTCAAACCCATAGGCAATCTAGTCATTTGATATTGCCCTGTATTTGTAGTAAAAGCTGTACATTCTCTGCAAGACTGATCTAGTTCTATCTGATAATATCCTTGAGCTAGGTCAAGATGGGAGAAATAAATTGCACCGGAAAGTGAATCTGAAATTTCTTGAATATTTGCTATTGAAAATTTTTGGTCTTTCAGATGTTTATTAAGTAATCTATAATCAATGACAACTCTCCATTTGCGTTCTCAGTTTTCGTCCGCCTTTTTTGGTACTATTAGAAGGGGAGATGACCAGGGAGATTTAGCCGGTTCAATTATTTTGTCATTCAGCATTTTATCAATATGTTTCTCAATTTCAAGCATTTGCGATTGGGGTAGTCTCTAAGGTCTTGTGTAAACAGGAGTTGTATTTTCCTCTAGCTGAATTGAATGTTTATAAATGTTAGTTACTGAAAGTTTGTCATTTGGTAAATGAAAAACATCTGTAAATTTTGCACATATGTGGTCAAGCGCTCTTTTTTCTTCTTTGTTCAGTCCGTCTGCACAAATCGATTTTAAAACTTCTTCTACTCTCTGGACCGATGAGGTATTCATGTCGTTTTATGCAATAATGTCGAACAATTTGGCGTCAACAGTTTTTGGTTCATAATTCCTAATTTCTACTGGTTCTTCACGGGTATTTGAAATTTTCATTGGAATTTCATTCCCATCTACCGGTTTTGCAATACATCCAGCAACAAAAACGCCGCTAGCTATTTCTTGTGGAAGTACTATGCATTCAAAATTCTTCTTCATCTTGAAATATTTGATAATTTCACAACGTGGCGGAATTTTAGTGCTTCTGCTAAGGTTTGACTCCATTGGGATGGTCAATTTAATGTTATTTACTGTTAACGAGAACTCAAAATTTTCATAGTCGATGACTGATGAGTACTTTTTGAAAAAATCTGCTCCTAAAATTCCCTGTATGTTATCGTCAAAAGATTCTATTATGAAAAATTAATGCGTAAACGTATTATTACCAATTTGAAATGAAACGTCTGTTGATCCTAGCGCATTTGTTGACCCTGAAATTCCGTCGATTTTGATCATGTCTGCTTAATTTATTGTCTGCAAGTGTCTGTTTTCATGTTTGTGGAAAATTGCGCTAATTGATGCACCTGAGTCGAGTAGTAAATGTATATATTCGTTATTATATTCAAATTTAACAAAATTGATACCGTGTACGCTGAATATAGAATTACTTTTATCACTATTGGCCTCGAAAAAACGTTAGCTCTTGTGAGCTATTTTGACTTCCCGAAGCTTCGCTTTGTGCCTCATTTGCAAAAAACATAGTTTGTCTTCTACTGTTTTCCCTGAAATTTTGACTCGGTATGTAATGGTTGTTTGGCTGATTACCTCGCTGATTACTTCGCGAGAAACTACCTCTACTTACGTATCTGTTCTGTCTATCATTATTTTGAAAACGTCCTCTATAGTTGTTATGTTTGTTGAATCGTGTATTATTCTGTCTGTTAAAATTGCTACGATGTACATTATGGCCTCTATAATTAAAATTAAAATTTCTGGTTTGGTAGTTTTGGTTAGAGAAATGTTGGTGTCTATTTCTCATGTGAAACATAGTCGATTGTTGATGCTGGTTGTCCTGAAATTCGTCTTTCGCTCCGTTAATTGCCCCAGTCAATGTTTCATAATTTCGAGCTTCTATTATAGTGCGCAGCTCTACATCTCTTATACCTTTTGCAAAAACGTCAATGGCTAACTTTTCGTTTTGTTCCTTGAAAATCTGAATGGAATTTTGGTTACTACCTGACACACAACCCAGCAAACACATCTGTGATATTCACATCACTGTTATATAACATCAACGAAACTTTTTTATATAAAATATTTACGTTAATATTCCATAATACCTCTGAAATATGTGAACCTCGTATTTATATGAAATATTTACGTAAATATTCTATTACAATTCTAAGATATGTGAACCCCATAATTATATATAAATGTAACGTAACAATGCTGTAACTGATATGTGAAAATTTGATATCAGCATAAAAGCTGATATAATAGCTACATGACTTCAGTAGGACTCTCGGCCGTAAATTCTCGTAAATTCTTCGGATAGTCAGTACCCGTGTCAGTCAGTACGAGTGTAGAGTTTGGACCACCTACTGGAATTATTATACTTACTTATCTATATGTGCATATGCCTGTGAAGTGAGTTGGTGAGGTGAAGAGGTTATTTGTGAAATTTTGATATTCATTTCGGATATTATTCAACTAGTTTCATCAATATATTATAATGAAAAGGGGTCATATTTGTAGCTGACATTTTAACATAATAAAGATGTGAATTTTACATAACATCTATAGAGAATGTTATGTAATATTTATGTCAGTTTGTTATATACGTAACATCTTATTTATAGCAATGAAATTATATAAAATATATATAAAATATTGACATAATTGTTACGTAATAATCATGTAGTATTTGTGGCGGACATTTCGCCATAACAGTGATGTAAGTCTTACATAACATAGTTACATACACGTATTGTCAGTTATGTAACACTTATGTCAATTTTACATAATTGTGTTTGCTGGGAATGAAAGATTGTCTTTTCTCGATGCGTTTTCAATGAAGTTGAAAATGCAGGCTACAAGTGACAAAATGGAATGTTCTTTCAAATACATATTTCGTTTTTATATAATGATCTGGGAGATAATTCACGGTATGGAATTATTCAGCAAGAATAGAAATATAAAGTCCAGTAGGAAGCTGACTCTGCATTCTGTATGTCATCGCATTGTCTCCATAGACAGGTCCGGCTTCAGGAATATAACTTATATTCCAAGGTTAACGACGAGAGGGGTGCTGTCTGAGCTTGTCGAGTTCGTCTAACTGGTAATGCTTGTGATGGAATGATAGCAGAAATGTTTCGAAAACATTTTCCGTAGAAGTATCTACAGAAAAGTTGAATGTCGCCGACCTACCTACGGTGTGTCAACGAAGTCGAGGAATTAGTGAGTGTGAAGTCATTATTCTTGCTGAGTTAAATAATGATCGCATTGTGTTACCGACAAAAAATGAAACAATTTGTGTATATTGATGAGTATATATTTTTTATACACCGAACACTATATCTCAAATTTCACAGATCTTAAATAAATTAAAGTACCTTGTATAAATAATCTCATTATCTACATTATCATAAAATACGTATCAAATCAGGAAATGACAATTTTGCTTATACATTTTAAATAAATACACAGAATCTTTACAGATGAACTGGGATCTTGATATGATCTGATACTTCTCTAACCAGTTGATTGATCGTGGACTATAATACCTATCCCTTCACAATAACTCATTTTCTAGAGATTTCAGATGAAATGAGGCGGAGCACATACAGTATATACATTCTCGATGGAACACTTAGTATACTCTGTACATTAGCAATCTCATGAATTTCTCAGATTCGAGGAATCATAGAAATATCCAATCTCTGGAACATTCTCAATCCTGATTAGGTATTCGCCCCGAAATGAAATGAATGCGCAAAAAAACAAACTGGCATAGCAATTCGTGAAATTGTTGCAACAGTTAGTTTTTTTTTAACAAAAAAATTCAACTCGATTCTGACTACTCTGATGTTTATATCAAATTATATATATGATATTTTCATCATGCTAGGATAACAAAAATCAGTGAATTTCTAATATACAAACCAAACTTCAGAAAATGATATACTTTTGTACCACCTAAATATTCTTTCCATCTACTACTTATCTGAGATCGATTCAAAATCCACAGGAATAATATTGCGGGGATAGAATCAGCCTTCGAAATCAATCGACTGGTTATCTCGAAGAATATACATATAGGGTATCTGTGATCGTGAATATCCTTTATTCAGCAAAAGAAAAGCAAAAACATCTTGATTGGTCGGTATTTTCTATCGATGAGAGAGATCCGAAGGAGAGGTTACTTCAATTTTATTCTCAAAACACTTTCGATACTTTTCGTGGTACACTTATCGTAATTAATGGTGAAGTTTGTTGAAATTCATGTGCATTTCAACTGAAGTGGATTTCTTTGTGGAAATTTCAGTTCATAGTGACCCAATGACAAGTGATCAGTTATTTGATTATTCATTTCATACAGTCTTTTGATTTATCCAATTTCATATGAAATCCTGATTGACATTCAAAGCTCAGTTGGTGACGAAAAATGTACTTACTTTTTCCACGCAATATTACAATTGATAGTTCAATATGAACAATAAGGCTACGAAATTGTTGAAGCTGAGATATGTGTTGAAAGCTAGCGAAGCAACAAAAGAGCACGTGTTTATTTCAGGTATTCAAGTTGGAGCGGAAGTCTTTCTGCCGACCGGATATATGTGCGAGACAGTTTCAACATCTCTGCTATTTACATACAGTTAGTATCGATCAAGAATCAGTCAAATTGAGAACAAACAGTTCACTTCCGTTGGATCGGAGAGACGAGAATAACCACAAACTGTGCTATCTGTGCTAGATAAAAGGTGGAATATAGTAGAGGATGCAATGAACAAATACATTCATTATTGGAAGATAGGAACCTACTAACACACTGCTTATTGAATGAGTCATTCATCATGATAGAAATCTGGGTAAATACCTAATCGATCTAACCTATATTTACTGTGCAGTAGTAATTGGTCTATCGATATCATACTCCTGGTTTATTCGAGACGAAATGGTCTGTTGGGTCTCCTAGATTTAATTCAAGGCGTTTTCAATTGCAAATTTGGAACTGAAAACTCCTAGTATTTCTGTGATGATCGCGATAATCTAGTGAATTGAGCTTGAACCATTCTAGTATTGGAAGCGCCAACAGGAATTCTACGAGGTAGGATAATTTAGTAATTCTAATCGGCGCTTTCAACGATGCTCTTTTTAGTTTTCTTAGCTCTTTTTGTCGGTTCAACAAGTTCATGGCCTGAGTGCTCACCACGGATACTGTGCGACGTTGTCAAATGCGTGCATCAGGATCAGATGATTCTAGACTATTTATATCTGTTCTATCTGTTAGTTCAGGAAACAATGACATTCTCACTTTATTTTCAAAAATACCGTACCGCTCGTGTGAAATGAATGTATTGATTAAAAGTCACCCTATGTATGTATCAGATCACATCCAACACACAATACATAGTCTCACCATAGTCCATAGTGTCCCAGGCTCGTAGGTAGATTCGGCATTTTTATTATAGAACACAATAATATTATCGTGGTCAATCGCAAATCACGAATGGATTACGGTTACCCCTTGAAACAAATGATGAGCTTTTATCTAGGTTGTGGAATGTGACAAGTTCAATTGATAAATTCACTCGAAAGACTTCAAGAAGTATCAATTATCGAAACAACAAATCGAGAAAACTCTACTTCCGAGAATATCGGAGTCCTGTATCAAGATATTTTCGAATTATGAGAGTTCCAGAATACATCTCGAACAGTTGCAAATAGAAAATGTTTCGTAAGATATCTCCTAATGACTTGAAATTGACCTGTCATCTAGATGTTTTGACATCTTCTTGGATCAATTTACTCACATCATATATCATCTTTTTATTCGATAAAAGTGGAAGAAGCGGTAATTGCCAACTTTATTCTGGATGCAATTTGATCGGCGTTGAGATATGCTGATTCCAGAAATGATACTTGGAACATTGCTACATTTATGATGCCTCACTCAATGAAATTTCACAAAATATCACCCAAATTCATCATGATAATCAATCTAAAATGTTAAAAAGCTTTGGAGGCCACTATTTCTTTTTGAGAAAATCATTCACAATTTCCCATATATTACTAAAGAGAAATTCTTTGAATTCGAGGCTTGAGGTTTCGATCATTTGAATGTATCAAAGTACCGCCCCGTTGAAATATTTTTATATTCGATTTTTTCAGTTTCATCGAACTATGCCAGCTATTTTCCATTCCACGAATTGACTGAAATTTCGAATTTTCACGTGCAGAAATAACAATAAGAGGAGGAAACGATCATTTCTCAACGCAATGAGGAGATCGATATTCCATCGTTCTGTATCGTCAGTCAATATTGAAAATACTTGAATGACATCATGACTTCCATGCCATGATCAGAAAATACAAAAGAACTGATTGTTGTATCGATTCCTGGATCTCAATTTACTGGATCTATCATATCTTCTGTGACGTCAATGCGTGGACTCACAGATCCTGTGATTACACGATTTATATCATTATTAAAGATCATCACTCAACATATAGCAAAATTTGACGTCAACGTGTTGCCTTCTGGGTGATCAGGTAAATCGCAGTATAGAGAACGAGCCAGTCTATGCTCTTACGATTGGTCTACAGAAGATCATTTGAATGAAAGTAATGTTATTCAATAGACAACATTGATGGCAATCTTTGAATTCTTAAGTTATCTACATCATGAGAGGAGAGGTGAAAAGATATTATATTTTATTGAATCTGATCCTCTTCATCTGTATACGAGATACTGAAATGGTAATTCGCACGACTACAACGATTCTTTGTATCTGCAATGTCGTCAAATTCTTCGATTTGAGGTGACTACATTATCCTTTCGATATGTTATCATTTTCACTATACCTACTAGAAAAACATTGTATTCATCATTCTATCGAAACCTCGTTCTCCTGACATAAACGGCTTTCATTATTAACCCACCCTTTTATTGTATAAATAATATCGACTCTAGCTTATGTGGGGATGTATCCCACTGTTTGAGGGGCTACAGCAATCCATTCATCAAATCGACTAATGGATAGGAAAAAGGTAAATAAATGCTATTTACATCATGTGATCAGTTGGCATCACGAATTCAAAATTGTTCGAATTAGGCTACAAATACATACATTGGAACTATTTACAATTTCATGTACAAAAATACGAGATGATTGGGCATCAGGAATTCCTATTATTGTAGCTGAATAACATCTATAAATCAACTTGACAGAGTGAATAATCAGATATAACACGTTCTCAATCACATAGTTCTAGAAATGAAGGAAATAAGTTGTCTTTCGTATATACCTGAGTATTCTACAACATTCTTATTATTGGATTCACTATCACTTCATAACAGGGTGAAAGTTTTTTTCCCTATTTCCTTCCTTCTTGAACCAAACGATTAACATTTCGAAGTCGTTTAAGTGGAACTTATATTTTCTTGAGATAATCCGCCAATAAGAGGAGCCTGAAATATTTTCATTCTGAATTGGACGATCAGTTTGTGCTTAGATACAGACTTGATTTGATCCATAAAATGATGATCAAAGATAGATGTGCACGAATTCTGAGCTACTACAATTACAAAGGTCATGTCAGCACATCTATCACTAGCTGTTTATTCATTTGGATCAATTTTGCAGAAAAATGTATCGAAACATAAAAATTGATCATTCATTTCATATTCTGGAGCTGTTATTTTTTTGCAATATTTCTTTGTTGATGAAAACAATGACTCGCAGTTGAGGAGGTTGAATTGATTCCGTAGTATTCGATCAAAACATTCACTTACATTGTACAACAATAGGTACACAACACTTTATAACAAATTAAATACTGAAAAAATACTGTAATCATTAGGCAAATATTCTCCTGAAATCAATATACGATGCCATTTTTGAAAATTGTGACGAAATGAAGCGAACTTTTCAGATAGGTAACATTGACGAGATCAAATTAGTTCGGCACAGCTAGCTGTACGGGAATTTGTTATACAAAATAGACAGAGTAATGCGAAATTCATCAGGAATATTTCAGGAGCTGGAATTAAAGAATGAGTGGTTCCAATCCCCTGTCACCGTAACTTTGCTGATTCAATTTGTTTCTCAAACTATCGCCGGTGAAATTAGGATCACCTAGGATGTGAAGAAAAAGATGATGTCAATTTGTGGAAACCTCGAACATAAAGATGTCTGGATTTTTGCATTTTCAATGATTCTCGCTAGTCATTGGCGGATTGACATGAAGTACAGCCATATTTTCGTTATATCGCTGAACCTTTCAGAGTTGAAATGTTTCAGTATGTCCGTTTCAAATAGGCGTGCGATATTACTAGAATACCGTGAAGAACATTCGACGGAATGATTTCTAACATACATAAATTAATCTTCGATTGCGTTATCTATTTTGCTGCTACGTATTCCCGTATTTCCGGTCCAAGGGTAGATATCCGGGCAAGGTTGACATGTCCTCATATACCTGACTCCTGATTTGTGCCACAAGTTGCAAACTTTGGGATTGTTGCATCTTTTAGGGCGATCCTGAAACAAATAGGTATGTCATGAATTGAAAACATGAGGAACATTCAAGTGAAGTCATCTAGTGAACCAACTCATGAACTTTTGAGAGGGATAAAAACCAACAAGTCGCCGATGAACTACAGCATTTTTTGAGCCGCTTACACGTTGGAACTCTAATAGATGACGAGAGATATAATAGCAAAGTGATGAAAAGAATGCACTCGTCCATGCAAGCTTTTCTATGTTCTGGTTCCCACGAAAAGGGATATCCTGTAATATTAGGAGAACATCGTGAGAATCAAGGGAAATAAGGTATGAATTGGTGTTCTTCTTCAATTTCTGGAGGTTATATGCCTCGGGAAACACCTCCCTTGGCAATTTGTTCCAGAGCCTCGCTGTTCGTTGGATTAACAAGTCTTGGAAAAGAGATGTTCTGCAGGTCTCCATCGTGACCACGAAGGGGTGCGAAGCCCCAACTCGACGGGTTAATCTCGCGGGGACTGCCAAGGAAGGAACAATTGTTGATATTTCAGAAGTGCATCGTCCATGGAAATATTTATAAAATAGAGCCAGATCGCATACAATAGTCAAGAGTTCAGTAAGTAATAAAACATTCACTCTCTTTATTCACGCCATACCTCAATTGATAACCTGAAATTCTGGTTCTAGATATTGTATCGTTTGTGAAGTCCGTTTTTATCGAAGCTACCAGCGAAGCAACGTGACAAAAATATTCACATTGGAGCAGCAGTGACTTTCCGACCGGCGATGTGTGCGAGACAGTATTCATTCAATTTCTATCTACTGGCAGTGTGCATCGATTGACGATCAGTCAATGTAGGTATACAAAAATTGTAGTGCTAAAAAGTGTAAGTCAACGAATTGAAAAGAAAAGTGTTCTCAATGGCACTTCTGAGAATCGAAGAGACACGGAAAACCAGAAAATATGGTAATGATGGATGAAAGGTGGAATGATGTAGCGGCTACATTAAACAGTACATTTTCGACTTGAAACGATCCTCTTCTCCCAATGTTTGTTATCAATTCATTTACAAAGACCATAGAAGAAAGTCGCGACATTTTTTAATTTTCGAGAGGTGACGAAAATGCAACGTTGGTACATAAAGTGCATCTAAAAGTGCATCGAATCTGGCATACGGGTCAAAATAAACCAAACCAAAATATGCATGTACCAAATTCACCCAAGCTCCCCGGGGGGACTTCTGGCAGAACATCTCTTTCCAAAGACTCGTTCATCCAAGGAACAGCAAGGCTCTGGAAAACATGCCAAGGGAGGTGTTCCCTGAGGCATATAACCTCCAGAAATTCAAGAACACCAATTCCTACTTTATTTCCCTTGGTTCTCACGATGTTCTATGAACATTACAGGATATCCCTTTTCGTGGGATCCATAACATAGAAAAAGCAATCAATTTCATAACTAAATTCTCTCGAATTGATATCAACGTACTGTGAATCGTAACTAAAAAACTTACATAATCTTATATTTGTTGATTTCACAGCGATGTTCCATTCAACAGTGTTTTCCCTTTAACAAAGCATTTTCTCGTATTGATTATATCACATTTTCGTAATTATGATTATATCAATACAATATCTCAGGAATTGAATCAATTTCATATGAAGGCATTCACAACCCTAACAACACAGGGATGTCCTAGGTACATCCCTTTTTTGTCCCGCGGTACAAGGACATGATTGGGGCATCCAGGGGATGTCGCGCAGTGCTTGTCCAGTGGACATCCCGCCCGGTACATCCCTAGGTTATCCTATTCGTCTCCCTGGAATATCTGATATCCATTCACATCAGAGTCATTGAACAGAAAACAGAAATCGTACATGCATAATGCCCCTAATTTTTAAACACCCAAGGATGATATAAAAATCATACCCAAATCCTAACAAAGTTATATTTATTCAGGTTTCTGTAGTTGAGTCCTGTTTATAAATCTGTTCGGTACATAAATCTTCAGGAGGCTCAATAGCCAATGGAGTGAGATGCGTGCCTGATAAGCCAAAGGTCCCGGGTTCAATCCGTACTCGAGTTCAATCCGTACTCGACCTACATTTTTTTTCTTTTGTCGAAGGGATGTCCCTGGGATATCCTTGGGATGTCATAGGGATATCCTTTCTTCGTACTTGGGTCATCCCAGGGACGTACCAGAAGGACATCCCTAGGATGCCTCTTTTTGTGGGAAGCGGATGTCCCTGGGATGTCTCTAGTATGTACCATGTCCCGAAATGTTTCATTGTATTATTTGTTCCTTGATCTGCGAGTTGGGCATGTGCCTTGAGAATTGAGTTAGCTCAGTTTCATGAATTTCATCGAAACGTAAAGTACTTAATTTTGGTGGGTTGAATATTATGTTCAATAGTTTAATCAATGTTTTTTCAACAAATAACAGGAGAACATGCCTCAAGAATTCTCGCATCTTTCAGAATAATGATGGAACTACATTCACCCTAGGTTCGCAAAATAGATGCTTGGATAATTGTCTAATATGAGTAGGTATCAGTCTACTCAGAATGTTGAAGACATTTTGGGTGATAATTCAATAAATAGTTGTTTTTTGTTATGGTTCCAGATCACCAATATGGAATCCACAGGGAGCAGGGATATGATCAAAGAATTGATGAGTCTGATCATTGTTTTCAATTCATATTTACCCAAGTTTAATAGTTACCTTGCAATTATATAAGGGAGACATGTTATCTAGATCTTGGCGTCACATCGACTTCTCATTGTGGTATCAATAATATGATTCGTATTACATAACGTAATGCATGAATGCATATTCGAATCCAGCGATCCTCAATCCTCCCAGTCCCAAATTCCTCGACGTTTCGTTCATTTTGGCACCTGACAATAAAAGAACGCGGGACTTCTTTTCAACGGTCTTTCTGAACAAAATGCAGAAAACCGCATTCGAATAAGACCTGTACGAAAAACTTGATCCATTTTTATTTAGATTGCTCGGTCTATTATAGACCTTTAATTTTCTTCACAACTTCAGGACTCTACTTTGTAGCATATAGCTAGTACCGTTCGTTAATCGATTTTGAGCTAGCCAAACGGAACCAATAAGGCTTGGCAATCTGAAATAGTCTGTTTGCATGAGCTGACCATCGACTGACAAAAATCCACTAGATCCCCTCAGTCTTCAGATTCTGCATAACATACTATATATTCCATTGTTGATGATTTCATTCCGTATTTCAGCATGAATAGAGTTGAACAAGGATGTCGACTACTGAGTCCGAAGGATAAAATGAACTTCATAGACCTCTCAAGGTAAGGGGTGCATTTGTTTTTAGTTGATTCGAATCTACGTCCTGTTATGAGCTGTAAATGCTATTGCACTCGATAGTTCCTACAAATTCTCTTTTGGAGAGTAGGACCATCAAAATTCGATGAACACATGGTAAACACTACTATAGTAGTGACCTAGTCGAGATTAAAGACACATAATGTTCAAGTACTCACGGAATAATCACACTGGAATGGTTGGAAGGACCCCAGCCTTGATATGGGTGTAGGATCCCTGACCCACTGGATGGCTTGCCAATTCGTAAGGAACCACACATCCTTGTAAGCCAATATGCTATCTATGAAGTTGATGAAACCTTGTTTATGGTGGGGCTGCGTGAACCAGGCAGCGTGGTAGAACAAGCCGAATGGAGCCCTGTGAATGTAAAAACATTGGTTAGTACATTGAACTTCCATGCTAGGGCAATAGAAAGATACGCATTCGTGTAAACTATGGATGATACTTGTCATGCTTCCGGCAAAAAAGTGATGTTTCGTTATGTGCCTTTTGTCATTTGCGAAATATAATACCTACATTTTCTCGACAGGAAACCTGACTTTGCATGATATTATTTCACAGGCTTTTTTATTAGGGAATATTCCGTCACACAGGCTCATCCCAGATCCCTCATAACCTAATTTCATTAACTGTTTTTATATATACAGAGTATACCAGAACAGCTTCATATATTCAATTGCTATTGACACAGTGGAAACAGTTGCATGCAAGAATTACCACAGCAGCTGCGAAGTTCCGAGATAATCCAGGAATATTCCAAAGGATACGATTCAACTGTGTGAAAAAGGCCCGATTATGCTTGGAGAGAGATGAAGACGTTTTGAACATTTGCTTGATTGATATCGTCATGATTAGTGATATTTTTCAACTACTCTCTGTTCCCGAGATTCACTGTCTTTTTAGAATTATTGTGATCGCCTTTACATTCACGAGAAAATAAAAATAAAAATTGAAATGATGAAAATCATCATTTTGATCAATAATTCTACATGAATGAGAAAAAAACATTGAATACATGATAATCCTGACATCATAAATAAATAGTATGGAGAAGCACCAAAATGAACTTTTTTAGATTTCTCGAAAACAAAGAAGAATTCGAGAAAACTGCAATCTGAAGAAAGTTGGGTAATTGATTTCGTCGTTCATTGAAATATGAAAATGAAGTCAGTGGTGATGTTTGTATGACATTTATTTGATTCATATCCACTCTAGTGAATTGCCCTTCAATTTTCAAAGCTGTATCCCTCAAGGATTCTGAGATATTCTAGAAAATCTGAAAATAAAATGATTGTTCATCGCCATCATGGCTCAACGGTGCGTTTTCGTATAGAGGTGGGTTGATCTTAATCGGCCTATTTTGATCTCTAGTTCACCATGTAGAGTTTATGGTACGTTGTTCTGGTACGCTCTGTATATACAAGAACAATTAATGAAATCCACTGAAGGAACTTGCCCTCTGATTTACAGAGCAGTATCTCTCAAGAGTTGTGAGATGTTCTAGAAAATCTGAAAATGAAATGATTGTTCATCGCCCTCTCACGGCTCAACCGTGCGTTTTCGTATAGTGGTAAGTTGATCTCAATCGGCCTAATTTGATCTCTAGTTCACCCTGTAAGATTTATGGTACGTTGTTCTGGGACACCCTGTATACTCACCTATTCGTTGTATAATGCCTTTGGAAGTTTTTGGTCAACATCTTGAATACACCTTCAGCGTCAGGGGGATTGCTGCAAGCGTCTCCCATCGAGCATCTACCCCCGTTCAAGTCTTGCCACATCACCATGGGCACCTCCCACACACCCGGGTAGGACTTGGTGGGACAAGGTGGGATCATGCAGTCGTGAAAGAGCTTGTAATCTAGCGTGTAAGGCCAGCTGGGAGGTTTGTTCTCGTAGATGGGCATGGAAGAGTCGTACGTGAAGTTCGAATCGTACAGCATCTTGAACATTTTGTTTCCGCCAACCTAAGACAAGTATATAAGGTATTCCGAAATGTCTTTATACAGGAGAAATGAGGAAATATAATCTGTACTCTGAGGAAACTCGAGGTATACTTTCTGATGACAACATTGAGAATAATATAGCGATCAAATTATAATTTAGGAGAAATTCTTTCTCCTACCCGAATTTCTACACTGTAGCAACGTCGATGTAACTTCTCGGTAAATTTTTCTGCGCAAGGCACAATCACGACGTAGGGTTCAATCATTCAAGATGTATCGAAGTGGTGTACCTACTAGACTCTCGATTGTCTTGGCCCCTCGATAGAGCAGTCGGAAATTTCACCACTCTTTGAAGTCAATGTCAAAAATATTTTTCACCCGCTGAAAGTCGAATGCCTGTGATCGTCTCCAGCCAATGCACTATCAGACGCATTTTGTTTGGTCTTAAATTGAATCAGGATAATGGTTCTGATGGAATTCGATCCTCTGTTCGCGAAGAGTGTGCACCAGAATTGACACTGCTGCAAGTTTTTCACCATCACGAACAAGTCGGATGTCATTCCATCCTGCTGGAGAATAGATAAAGTCCAATCTTTTTCAAGTGATGAAGAATGAAAAACCTGATCAGGAATCAGCTATCACTAGAATGATAGAGAAAACCATCAACATTGAGCATATCGAACATCTGGAGAAATCAGGAATCATTAATGATAGACAATATGGCTTTCCACATCTGAGTTCAAGTGAAGATTCATTTGCCTATATATTTTCTTCATGTTTTGGTTTTCACGAAAAGGGATAACTTGTGATGTTCAGAGGACATCGAGAAAACCAAGGGAAATAAGGTAGGAATTGGTGTTCTTTTCAAATTTCTGGAGGTTATATGCCTCGAAGAACACCTCCCTTGGTGATGTGTTTCAGAGCCTCGCTTTTCGTTGGATGAACGAGTATTTGAAAAGAGATGTTCTGCAACTCTCCAAAGTGACCACGAAGGGGTGCAAAACCTCAACTCGACGGGTTAATCTCGCGGGGACTGCCAAGGCAGGAACAATTGTGATATTTCAGAAGAGCATCGTCTATGAAAATATCTATAAAAAAGAGCCAGATCGCCAACTTCTTCACGGTGTATCAAAGAAGTGAGTGAGTTTGTGAGTGAGGCATCACTCACGAGACGATTTCGTTTCTTTTTTCATGTTCTGGTTCCCAAGAACAAGGATATCCTGTAAATTCCAGAGAACATCGTGAGAACCAAGAGGAATAAGGTAGGAATTGGTGTTCTTCCTGAATTTCTGGAAGTTATATGCCTTGGAAACACGCCCCTTGGCAATGCGTTCCAATGCCTCGCTGTTCGTTGGATTAACAAGTCTTGGAAAAGAGATGTTCTGCAGGTCTCCAAAGTGACCACGGAGGGGTGCGAAGCCTCAACTCGAGGTGTTAATCTCGTGGGAACTGCCAAGGGAGGAACAATTGTTGATATTTCAGAAGAGCATCGTCAATGAAGATATCTATAAAATAGAGCCAGATCGCCAAATTTTCTACAGTGTTCCAGAGAAGTGAGTGAGTTTGTGAGCGAGGCATCACCGATGAGACGAATTGCTCTTTTTTGGACAGAATCCAACAGTTTAAGGGTATGTTTGGGTAATACACTCCAAATATGAAACAAAAAACCATGTTTTTGCGATGCACTATCAGTAATTGATCTTGAGTGGTTTTCCCAAGGAAGGTTATTACTGAAAGTAATACCAAGCATCGAACTTGATGTCTTCAAAGGTATGGTTACTCTTCACAAGCTCATGTTGGGCACAGTGAGATCGGTTTTTCTAGAGAAAAGACATTGATTGTGTTTCGTTTTGAAATCTACCAAGTTATTGGATCCCTATTCGAAAATTGTTGCCAAGTCCATATTTATGTTGTCAAAATTTCTATATTCCTCATTTATGGCAGAAACCATTAGAAAGTATGAGGAATCTCTAGTTGTGGCGTTAAGTTCGTTTTCATTTTCGAGTTTTTCTCCAGACAGATCGCTCCATGTGGTGGTGGATGGAGTATCGTCTAATACCATGGCCATCAAATCCGGCATCCCAGAAGGATTCATTTTGGCACTTACATTGTTTCTACTCCATAACGATGATCTGCTGTGAGTAACCAGCTGCCCTTTTTACAAATCGGTGAAAATCTTGCTGAAACCCAACATGGCGAGCAAATAACCTGGTTGAATTCAATAACACCAGAACTCAAGCATAAAAGTATTTCCTCTAGGAAAGCCGAACTCAGTATGCCCCATAATATAACAATGACTGGTAACATCATTTCCACTGAGTCTCCATTATAACCGCTCGGCATCTCGATCAGTGATAACCTCCCATGTCAGATCCATCGCAAGAGCTGCTTCATAATAACTCGAATTTTCATCACATGATCAACAAAGAACAGATCTGTCCTGTTTGATGATACATACATTTGAGGTTCAGCACCCGAACATACGCTGATGCTCTCAGATTCCATCCAGAGATGAAACATTCTTCCAATTAGTGATGCCATACTCTCTACTTAACAAAATTGGAACACCGTAGGAAAGTTGGCGACTTTTCACATTTCTATAGATACTTCTCCGAGAAATGCTCTTTAGAAATTTCTCCTATCATTCCATCACTAGCAATTCCAGTCAGACTTACCCGAAAACCCCAGTCAGCAAATTCTTTCATCGCCAACCTCGCCGAATATACCTACTTCTCTTCAAATCCTTTCTAGGAACGCACGATGTTCTTTGAACATGATACATATTCATTTTCGTTTGAGTCGTCATTCAGAAGACGCGTAGAAACTCTTCGTATATTGAACACATCAATATGATCAGTCTCATAAATTTTGCCAAAATATAAAATTCCTCTCGAGTCTACCGATCACTGAGATATTCCATCTTGGGAACTAAACCAAGAAGAATCGAAACAATCAATCAAATCAATTGAATACACTAGTATACAGTCATATGTATAATGGAGTCAGTATTACTTTCTGATCATTGCGTGATTTTTTCAATCATCGAAACTTGCCAAACAAAAATATTGATGACTTTGTATCAGTAAGAGCGTATGAAAGGATTTTTTTGAATGTAATGAATTCACTACAAGTGTACCAGATTATCCACCCCTGTACATTGCATATATTAAAAAGTTGAAAACCGAGCAGCTGTCAGTTCTCAAATCATTCAACATGTGCAGTATACTTATTGAAATTCATAACATCGAAACATCTTCAACAGAATAATTGAACAATAATTTCTACAATGAATCCGAAGGTAGAAAGCGTCATCCCTGTGCCACCTGTGCTATGCGCCATTGGCGTCAGATTTTCATCTTCGCGATTCGTTCTCTTTGCACAGAATGTGAATTAAGAGCCGGAGAAATTTCAAATTTTTAACCAATAATTTGGGAGATGTGAGGGATCCTAGAGTTCCTTTTTCGATGTTGGACGGTTGGTCCCTAACCTCGAGACATCTTTGAAATTTTTTTGATAAACTGCGTTGCTATGGGAAAATCGCCATTTTATGAAATTTCATTTTTATTTCGAGATGTGGCCTCTCTTAGTTGAACAATAACAACCAACATCTGAACTGCAACAAGGGTCATTTCTACTGAAGATAACTAACACCAGTGGCGCGCAAAAAGGGGTTTATGCGCTATTAACAAACGAAAAATCCGTTTGTATTGGAAAAATTCAACAGTTTTATTGATCGTCACGGTTGAAAGGTGTCATACCCTTAATTAGCATGATGTTGACAAATTCAGAGGCGTGCAGAAAAGAGACTTATGATATTTAGAAACGAAAAAAACGTTTTTATTGAAATATAAACAACAGATTCGTTGACCGTTACAGTGAAAACATTGCCATAAATTTAATTAGCATGATGTTGACGAATTCAGAGGCGTGCAAAAGGCGATTCCGTGATGTGGGCAAAATGAAATTGCATTCTCATTATCATTGTTTTATACTTATTCAAGGTGAGCATCCAAGTAATCCATTGACGTATTGAAGAGGATCCATCATTCAAGGCGATTCAAAAAGTTTGATATGGAAACATTTTTAATGATTTTATCAAGTGTTGTTTCTTGTTCGCCCAGTGGAAATTTCCTTGTATCATTATTTATGAATGAAAACTCAGGAACGTAACTCTGGCTTCTGATGTTTCTCGAGCCATACAATTTGATAATTTTGTCGAAAAAAATGGTTCAAGTATTTTTTCTTCATTGATTCTATTGTCCTCTATCTGATAAATCAATTTTTCAGATAAATATTTTTTTTACTACTCGGACCCGACCAAGAAATTGCTCACTGGCCGAAGAGAGAACAACACTGAAATTATTTAAAATGTTTCCATATGATGTAAAATTTTCGAATCGCCATGTATTAATGAATTGTCTTATTGAATTAAGAAACTGGAATTTTGATCTGCCTACATTACAGAATCACCTTTTGCACGCCTCTGAGTTTGTCAACATCATGCTAATTGAATGTATGAAATTTTTTTTACTGTAACGATCTATAAATCTGTTAAATTTTTCAATAAAAACGTTCTTTTTGTTTCTTGATATCATAAGCCCCTTTTCTGAACGCCTCTAAATTTGCCAACATCATGCTGATTAGGGGTATGACACTTTTCAACTGTAACGATCAATAAAACTGTTGAATTTTTCCAAAACAAACGAATTTTTCTTTCGTAAATAGCATAAACCCCTTTTTGCGCGCCTCTAGTGTTAGTTATCTTCAGTAAAAATATCCCTTCTTACAGTTTAGATGTTCACTGTTATTGTTCAACTAAAAGATGCCACATTTTTGAATAAAAATGGAATTTCATGAAATGGCGATTTTTCCATAGCAACGCAATTTATCAAAAGAATTTCTCGGGGTATCGGACCAACCATTCACACAATATATAAAAAAGAATTCTAGGGTCCCTCACATTTCCCAAATTATTGGTCAAAAATTTGAAATTTTTTCGGCTCTTGATTCACTCTCTGTACAAAGAGAACGACTCGCAAAAATGAAGACCCGACGCCAATAGCGCATAGCACAAGGATGACGCTTTCTACTTTTAGTTGGAACTCCAACATCGGCCAAGAAATGTTCGAGTTATAGCTTATCAAAATTAGTCGATTTTTTGGCTGTCCCACTTCATCTGGTAAGTAGTTTATATCGAGGCAGGAACATATGACTCAATATTTCATAGTTGCCCATTATCCCGATCAATCGATATGTGAAAATGAAACCAACCCGATTCATTCTTAACCACATATTATCTTAGTCATAATCCCTTACTAATCGTCAAATCTATCAATTCTCTGATATCTTCCATATCATATCTTGAACTCAACTTATCAACATAGTCACGGTTTCACAATTTTACACACAATATGGAAACACATTTTGATCAAATCCTGCCAAAAGATTCGTGAATTTGAATGAACCCCTTGAAACTTTCGACACTAGGTTGACCGTTACTTCGAGACTGTTCAAGCCTGTTGGAGGTTGAAAGATCGCCATATGTCATATGTAACTTGTCACTACGCATAGTTTTTGAGTCAATATTTCTATGAACATGTTGAACTGATTTGTTATCTGATTAATTGATTCATACTCAAATCAACATTGTTAACTCTAACAAAGATCATATTCATTCCATACAGGGTGTTTCATAGGTAAAGGAAAATATTTCAATAGCAGATAGAGGGGTCACCAAGGTGGTTCTGAAAATTCCATATTTGATAGGTCTTCGAGTTTTCATAACGGAGATACAGGGCGATTTATCGATTTCGAATAATTATTCATTCGTCTCCAAGTATTGAACTACCCGGTATATTTCTCTAAAATTTGGCATGGAGCCTAAACTTGGGACGTTGAATTCATTTACCTATCGGGCGAAGAGAGAATCCAGGTTCGGCTTCAGGAAAAATTCACATTTATTCGAAATATTAAAATAACACACTGTATGTAATAATCGACAGAGTTCATCAGAGGAATCGTGAAGGGGAGGAAAACCTGAACTCGATTTGATGCTTTCTGTTTTCCCGTCACCAATTCTCATCGTAACAATCATAAACAGAAAGCTGAAAGTATGTCAATTTGAAGAGTATTGAAATTATGAAACCAGTGTCAATTATGATTATTCGATTTATTTTAGTCAACAAATCGCTCGAAAGAACTTACTAAGTCTCACAGTTTTTATAACGGAGATACAGGGTGAATTATCGGCGTTGAATAATTATTCACCCGTCCATAAGTATAAAACTACCCAGTAACATTTCCTCAAATATGGTATGTAGCTTACTTGGGACGATGGATTCATTAACCTATCAGGCGGAATTATAATTCGCTAATTCACCCTGTATCTCTGTTATAAAGACTATGAGACTTTTCCTGAAGCTGAACGTGTATTTCCATTCTGCCTGATAGGTCAATATGAGTCTATCGTCCCAAGTAAGCTCAATACCAAATTTGAGAAAATATTACTGCGATGGGTGGTTCAATACTTAAGGACGAGTGATAATTCACCCTGTATCTCTGTTATAAAGACTGTGAGACCAAGTAAGTTCTTTCGAATGATCATTTAACAAGAATATATCAAATAATCATATTTGAAAGTGGTTTCATAATTTTAATACTCTTGAAATTGACATACTTTTAGCTTCCTGGTCATGATTGTTACAATGAGAATTGGTGGCGGGAAAACAAAAAGCATCAAATCCAGTTCAGTTTTTCCTCTTCTTCACGATTCCTTTGATGAACTTTGTCAATTCTCACATACAGTGTGTTATTCTAATATTTCGAATAAATGTGAATTTTTCCTGATGCCGAACCTGTATTTTCACTTCGCCCGATGAGTGAATGAATTCAACGTCCCAAGTTCAAGCTCCATACCAAATTTTAGGAAAATATACTGGGTAATTCAATACTTATGACGAATGAATAATTATTCGAAATCGATAAATCGCCTTGTATCTCCGTTATGAAAACTCTAAGACCTATCAAATATGGTATTTTCAGAACCACCTTGGTGACCCCTACCTATCATTGAAATATTCCCCTTCACCTGTGAAACACCCTGTATAAATATGATCTTGAGATTACTCTTTGTTCCTATTGAAAACTATCAATAATTCCATATTTTTCCACGCTTGTTGGCCAGAACATCATGAATATGAATCAATTCATCGTTATTCCGGGGGATCACACTATCATGAGAATTCTCAAAAAACGCAGACTTCGCAATGCATCAAACCTATTATATCTACACTACACTGTTTTACCACTAACCGAACCGATTTCTTAACGCCTCGACACGTGTTTCGCTAACTATGTTAGCATCTTCAGGTGAAAATTAAAACTATCAGTTATATCCCTGCGAGCACAAACATCCCTGGGATGTTTTGGGATGTTTTGAAAATGTTGGCATGAAGATGTTATTTTGAGAAGTAATATGCACTGACCAAAAAGGTCTTTGAAGGATATTAAAGTATTGTTTTTGTTCTTTTGTGGCATTTCTTTGTTTGCCTACTGACAGGTATCCCTGGGATGTTTTGGGATGTTTTAGAAATGTAGGCATGAGGATGTTTTTTTGAGGCGTAATATGCACTTCCCAAAGAGGTCTTAGAACGATATTGAAAGTATTGTTTTTCTTATTCTGTGCCCTTTATTTGTTTGCCCCACCAAAACGTCTCATGCTTACGTCACAATACAATGAATTCTGATTTGTTTTCGATTTTGTTCTTCTTGTTCGCAATTGTCATTCGCGTTTGCAGCGTGTCACGCTTACATCACGCTGCTAACGAACAGAAAGGAATTTGGTGAAGTTTATTGTGTTAGAAGACTTATTTAGTTTGTAATAATGACCATCAGATGCAGGATGTGTTGTTCGGTGCTTCAGTGTAATCAATATATAAAAGTACGAATTCATCAATACACAGCTTCTCCGCAGTTGCAAAATTATGCATTGTGGAGAACATTCCGAAAATTGGGAAACCCATTTCCAATTATATGTCTGTGTGTAGTAAGCACTACTCAGAAACCGATTAAGAAGGTAATTTCATATCAAGAAAATATTTTTATGTTCAATCTATTTTTAATGAATTTCTTCATTCAAGGGAAATGGAATCCTAATGCAAAAGTTCATTTTGACAAAAGGCTTCAGAAAAGTTCCTCGGAAATGTTTTTTTACAGCGATTCAATGTGCGCAAGACGCGTTGAAAATGTTCTGTTGTGTCCATGAGAAGGCTTTAAAAAGAACTAGGGAGAAGGTAGTTTTGTGACATATCAAGGACATCTCGACAATTGCCACCTGCGGCGGACATTGGCTGTTCTATAATAGTTCTATTCATGTGTGAACAGAACATCGCAGTGGAGGTTCAATGTCTCGAAATCTCGTACTTTTAACATATCTGAGATGTTTTTGTGCTCGCTGGGTATCAGTTTTGATCTTCTCCTGAAGATGCTAATATAGTTAGCGAAACACGTGTCGAGGCGTTAAAAAGTCGGTTTGGTTAGTGGTCAAACAGTGTAGTGTATTATCGTGCCAAAGGTTCCAGTCTCCGATATATACTATTGTATCTAAACAATTCGAATGAAAATGTAATAACGAAGTTTCGAATGAAAGTATGCCTGAGTCTCACTGGCAAGATATAGTGGGAGAAGTATCTAGAATCCATTCCCTCGAACGGTACTCACCGATAGAAAAGGTGCTCTCAACCCTCTCACATCTTCCAAATGGACTCCACCGTAAGCAGAGAGAATCTCCCTTTGACCAGCTACTTCTTTGGTCCATTTTTTCTGTGAAAACTGTTCTCCAAAACTATGCCTACGGTGAAGAGAATTAGTTTATATTATATTTTTATTTGAAGAGGATTTAGTTAAGCAAGAAATTTGCAGAAAATGGAAAATTGCAGGAGATATTGAGTGAGATCAATTGAGGTGCCAAGTACATATTAGACATATCAGTGTAACATCCCATATACATATATTCCAGTTCATAGGGCAGCTCTAAGTTATTCATGAATACAGTGTGATTTGAATTGAAATTTCTTCAAAAAGGTGATTTCTGATGTTCTCATTGGAACTTATAACGATATACTACAAATTCAGTCATGTTATTCACATGTGTACTCTGTCGAGCTCACTTCCTTCATCTAGTTGCAGCTCTTGTTGATCCAAAAGGTTCACTGACAATATTTGATGATGACATTTGGAAATTGCCCAAAATGAAGCCATCAAAAAGACACTGAACTTGGCTTGGAGTTTTAGCATACTGCTCTACAGATTCAAACTTTCAACTATGACCCTCTTCGAGATATTACAGAAGTGCACCGTTTCCAAAATTTTTTGTAAATAAAGCAAGAATGTCTTATCAGATTTTCTTGTTATATTGCAGTTTCTCATGTAATTGTGATGAAATGATTCAACCATGACTAAATATACAAGAAACCTGTTTCCCCAAAAGGTTGACAGTGTTGGAGACCATGCATATCCACTTGCAAAATGAAGGAACTTGGCATCGTTCATAATCGCCGTAATGTGGTCGCACTTTGTCTATACTGACTAAATATACGAGAAACCTGTTTCTTCAAAAGGTTGACAGTGTTGGAAACCATGCATGTTTGGAGCTATGTTATAAAAACTTCTCCTCTTAAATCCATTTGCCAAATGAAGTAACTTGGCATCGTTCATAATCGCCGTAATGTGGTCGCACTTTGTCTATATTCACTGTAAATCAAAAATGCAACGAATTTATCTTCATCAGAAACGTGTGCTATTGGTCGACAAATGCACAGAAACAATTTGAAAATTGTTAGTTATGTGTCAGAGGCGTAAAATGGGCGTGATGGACCGCACCGTGCAGTCAATAGACCAAGCACGCAAGGTACCTATAGAAATTCTCAATACTATCATAAATGTATGCGTCATGTTGTGGACGCACTGTATATACATATATGGGATGCACTGATAGGACGATTTTAGTGTGAAATATCGTACGGTGCTTGAATTTGGAATAAAACTTACGAGACTGTGTGAGACGCAATTTCATGACCATCAGAATATAAATTCTGAACCTGACTGTAATCGGTCCACTCGTGAGACACATAAAACGATGCAGCTATCGGGCATCCGTTGGGGTTAGTCCTACCCTTTTCGAACAAATCCTGGTATAAACCTTTGTTTAAGTCGTTCACTGAATCGTCGAAGGTGAGCAACACGATTTGAGGTATTTGCTTGACAGGCAGATCTCCTTTTGGTTAGTAGCATAAAAGAAAAAGAAACAAGTTAATTGAGACATTATTTCGGCAAGAACGGCTATAGTCCATGAGAGTTAGACGAAAATAGGGTCAAACCTCAGAATCCGAGAAGGTTTGATCTTGATAGGATAACGTTTATGCATTATTGTATGTACATCAGAGTCTCCATCGTCTCATGCGCCGCTTATTTTCTTATCCATATATAAACATGAATCATGAGCAAATAAGGTATTCTGGCTGTAACGAGCCACGAGGGGTAGGTGAGACCAATTTTAATGCGGTAGAGCTCATCAGTTTTCTCCCCCATCATTTGTACTTCGACCCTACATGACATCAGACCATCTTCATATGTTCATTGATTTCCACTTATTTAGATGTTATATCTGCGGTTGGCACTAGAACCGACCAATTTTGACAGGGTGAACGGTGTTGTATACACGTTGACCAAAAGGGCAATGACTGATCCTCATTCGTTTATTGATTTTCGATTGATTATTATGATAAATTTGCACCGTAACGTTTGGGATTAGAGATGTTGAAACCTTCGTATAGAAAGGGAAATAGCAAGAAGCACATGATGATCCTATAGAACGCAAATTGTGATAAACGAATGAATTATAGATACATCCTTCCATTATAAGTTCAGGCCACAGATAGCATGTTTTATTTTTCATTATGGTGAAATGAAGGAATTAAATAAAAATCATTCGGTCCTAACTGATTTTGAACTACCTCTAATTACGAGCAGAGTGTCGTCCAATCCATAGAAATCAGCCTTTCCTAGTCCGAGTCATAGATGGCAGGCCTGATTTATCTGTAAGAATCAATCGAAAATCAATGGAAAAATAAAAATCTGTAGGACCCTCAATGGTTCTTGGCCACCTTCATCTCCAATTACGAGAAAACTAGCTCGTGAAAACACGTCTCTCTTAGTCCGATTATAGACAAAACGTCTAATTTTTTCATGATAATCAAATAGAAATCATCAGAAAATAGATCACCTGAAGTCATGTTGAGTTGAACTAATGAGAAAAATAATGGGCTTCACCGCATTGAACTTGGAATTTCCTACCCCTTGTTACTGCCAGAATTCTGGATTTGTTTATAATGATCTGGACAAATCAGCATTACATGAGACGATGAAGACTTTGATGTAGCTGCAATTATGAAGTAAACGTGCTATGCCCTATCAGAATCGAACTTTTTCAATCGAATAACAAGGTGAGATGCTAACTTTCCTGGACTACGAAGCGAAAGGTAAAACAGATGAGACACGTTTCAGTTCCAGCCCCCTGGCCAAAATGATACCACTTACGACACTGTGTGGGACGCCATCTCGTGTCCGTCAGCGTAAAGATTTTGAACTTGGCTGTAGTCAGTCCATTCGTGAGATACGTAAAAGGTCGCAGAGATCGGACAGCCATTTGGATTCTTGCGCCCGTTCTCAAACAATTCAACGTAATAATCTTTATTTAAATCGTTAACAGCATCGTCAAAAGTGATGAGAACCATTTGGGGCGTGTTCTCCACAGGTATATTCCCTATTTAATAAAAGAATGTCTTATGGAAATACATTATTCAGATACTCGAAAGATTATTAGTAGATGTATAGCAGGGGTTATAGTTAGTATTGTGAGGAAAAAAACCAAGTAATGAATAGCTCAACTCTAAATAGAGATCACCAAAGTGGTTTTGAATAATGGCACATACTTGCTACCCTGAAGCTAGATTATCAACTCCGCAATAACATATCGCAGATGGCGGTGACAGTACTTCTACTCAATTCTGCAATGAGAGCGCTAATTCCGTCCAACAGCGACATGTTCTTTGCATTCAACTCTACAACCATTCGTTGACTCCGCAGCTGATGCACAGTTCATTATCCTAACACAATAACATCTGTAAGACGTCGTAGAAACATCCATATGGGATCTCTGGAGAATCCCTATTCTCCTTAGGACATTCTTGCATTGCATCAAATTGATAGTTCCTCTCAATGAGTTTATACTACGAGTAGGTTAATTGATGAGTAAATATCAATGAATTTTGAAAAATGCTTTCATTGTTTTCAAGACAAAACACCTACTTGAAAACAAAAATATCACAAAGCTGAAGGGAATATGACCGAAATACCTAAGTCGATGGCCTTTGAGATTCTCAGCTGGTATTTGATATTTCTGATATCTAAAATCAAACTGAAAAGGCATAACCTAGGCAAAAATCAATGCCCATTCTCGCCCTCAAGTGGCGGCACCCATGGTCCGTTATCTACAGTAGCGACTATCACCTACGTTTCACCAATTTCGGAAGCTTTCGGCGACCATGTGCCGTATGACGACATACAAAAACAGCTGACAAACTAATTAACTCCTCAATATCATGATAAAACTGCAGTACACTAGCTGGAATGCGCGATACACCAAATACAAACAGCGTAAAAATGGCCGGATGACAAACGATACTGAGATTATAGCTCTGATTGGATCAACATCCAGTGTGGACATACGTTCAAACAAAATTTCGACAGGAAACAAATTCGTGTAGTTCTGCCTTTGATGCATACTGCACAGGTACTTCAATTGATTATAATGCTCAATTGTTGGTTCCCGCGCATTTGTTGTTTTCAGTTATGTGGTTCCAATTGTCGATGTTCTATTAAAAAATGGTATCATGGTTGTATTTTCACTTCACAATCATATGACTGAACCTGAGATTTAGGTTATTCAAACCAAAATGTGAGTAGCGCCACGCAGCAGCAACAAGTACATAATCTCAAAAATTTTCAACTGCAGCTGCAACAGCTTGTCGATCTCCCAACTGATGAAATTATCAGGAAGCTTGAATTTAGGAAAAGAATCGAAATAAATAAACTATCGAGAAAGAATGAAGCACCGAATTCTCTACAAATACTGGGAGAGAACACCATAAAATGATATACGGACAGGTCTGAAAATCTCGAGGGGGTTGTAGCAGTCATTTTTGGGTCTTACACCAAATATTCTGAACCGATAGATCAGTTCCCAAAGACTTTCAAGAGGAAATCCATGACATTGAAAGATGCATTCAGTTCAACCTTGACAGAAAACATAGGAACATGGAAACGTTGAGCTCTTTCGAGATCAACTCAAGAATGTTCAAAAAATGCCTAGACTAACTTAATCATTTTATATTTTCAAGGAGAACTTGAGAAAGCTGGAGAAGCAGTATGAACAACACACTAGCAAATAATTCCAGGACTGTGGCAGACCAAAGATCTACTTGGCAATTCCAACAACATCTGAGACGCTAATTAACTGATTAACAGCCAAATAAGTTCCAAGACGAAAGAGCTACTGTTCTATAAGAACACAGCACCTACCGATTCTGCGGGAAACATCTAGGGATACTCTACCATATTTTGCTGGAGTGTAATGCTGTACATTATATCAAACGAATATACTGGGATCTTTCCAGTTTGAAAGGAATACCATGAGAAGATCTCCTTGAAAAACTACAATTCCTAAAGGAACTGAAGCTTGAGGATGCTGCTATCAACAAGAGAATTAGCAGAAGAAGGTAAGGTACAATGAATCTAATCGCAGATCGCAGCGCATCTATCTCCATTCACGCATCACACACACATCTAAGATTTGTCCCGTTATCAGTGGTAGATACTTTGATATCGCTACCTAACCTCTATTTTTTCCTCTTCAGAGTAATTTCTTCAACTCATCCTACCAACAGTAATCACGTGACATCTGTTTCGATTCTTGAGGTATACAAAATTGACCACGCAGAATAGTTTTTTTAATGATCATTGAGAACACCGTTTGTTCCCTCCTCCATCATCTACTCGGGTGACTAACGTTATAGTAAAAAAAACTACGCTACCTCCTCATCATAGAACATGACGCACATGGACAGTGGCAGCTCTCTGAATCACCGCTGTAATAGGAGTACTCAAGCCGTCCAAACGCGAAATGTTCGTTGGAAACGACTGTGCCTATGCATTCAAATCAGATGAACTGTTGTGTAATTCGAATTCCATGATTATCATTCTACTGAAATGATTTTGTGATAATCCTATAGTAATCCTCAGAAAAGGAATAGTTCCTAGAATATATAATTTCGAATTTCTATGGAATATTGTCTCATCATGCTTTCCGAAGATTGAAAAAATATTCAATGGAACTCCAATGTTTATTCATCAGAATTTGATGTTCCAAATTACCAAATCAACAGATATTTGTCTTTTGCTTGACACACAAGAATGTTCTGCTCATTACTTGATAAACTTGAAATTCTAGTTAATCTCTAGAAATTTTGACAGAACGAACGTAAATTGGGAAAAGACGAATGAAACATTATGAAGTGACCAATTGAAGCTATGGTGAATGGATTTGAAGCAAAGTGTCATTGCCTAACCTGGAATTTCTTTTCCACCACAACTGCAATCCGGTAGCAAGCAAACGTCCTTCCTGCACTTGGCTGCAGTCTTGTCAACTTGAGGTTGTGGATATATCGGGTCAGGACGTCTCGGAGGGAATCTATAGATGTCGACAAACTCCTGAACCTTCGAAATTATCGAGGTCGATGGTTTGAGGGTTGGACGGGCTCGGCTGCAAAAAATCATAATTTAATTCAATTTATTTATTCATCATCAGTACAGATCACATTCCACTATACTTTTCCACCAGATAAACCTGGTCACGTGTTTCTTCGAGAGGAGATTGAAACTCTCACATTCTAGAATGCTTCATATATATACTAAGTATGTTCACCTAACCGTAAAAAAACCTAACTGTGCTGTCAGTGTTTATCATGGTAGAGTTCACCTGCTAATCCATATTCTAAATTGCACATTTCCACGAAGGAATAGATCTTTCATTCTCATTCCAAAGTCTATAGCGATTCCAAACTAGTTTCAGGCTTTCATATGTTCCAGACTGGTTTGTTCGACCAATTTGAGATTATTGATGTGTGTGTTAGGATTATGATTGGATATAATATGTTCAGCTTCACTCGACTCATAAAATCTACTATATTTCGAATGTGCGAGGTGTGTATTGAAGTGTTATTGGCCAGCTTCATTAGTTGACTGGTTTCGATCAATGTCTGAGTACCTGAGACTGATTCTAGTTGAATTCCGCTCGTTCGGAAGCTGATAGTAAACTCCGATAAACATCATTACAACCCTACAGACTTCAATGTCTTTCAAAGCTTTGCTTATGATATAAAATTTGAAAGAATCATCCATATGTTGAAATGATGGATAATAATCTGGTCATACCTTTCTTGGTATTGGATATTTTCTAGTCAAATTCATTCAGTAGCCTGAGCAAGGGTAGTAGATTCTTTAGCTGTGCCCATTTAGGGTTGAAGGTTATTTCTTCTCATTCTTGTGAATTTGGAACATGCGCTTTTGGATGCTTTTACCTGCAGACAAAGTTGAGGATTCCGACCAATCAGAATCTAGGATTAGGCTGTACCTTACCTGCAGCAAAGCTGATAAAGAGTTCAAATACTGGAGAGGGCTAGGCAATTGCTTTCCTTTTGCCGGCTCTCTTCTGTTTGTCACACATACTCTTGATTTGTGCTCTTAGTGATCTCATACCAGTGTAAAATAGTGTTGTAAAGTTATTTTGTGTTGGATATATGAGTTTGTATATATCTCATGATTTCACCTTGTACATCATTGCATAATTCCTGAGGGTTTCTGATCTTGAATTAATTGTCCCTGAAAGCTTTTGTATTATTCGTATTGTTTTTTTGTTTCCAATGATTCAATCGATGTTTTCCTAACTTTCAAGTCTCTTCCTCCTTTCTCAATGGTTAGAGCATGGAGGCCATGGCATGCGACCCTAGAGCAATGCCTTTATGTGATGTGCTGTCGTGGTTTTGTGCTCTGTATTCGAGAATTCGACAATGGGAAAAGATAACAATCAACCTCAAAAATTTGTGTTTCGAAAAATTGAAAAATTGTAGGAAAAGGAAATACGAATTGAAGCTGTTCCATTTGCTTGAAAATGTGTTACTGATTCTCCAGGCGAACTCAATATAAGTTTGAATACATAATTTTCTGGTCCAAACCAAAAGATACCAGAGAGTGTTTTCGACGAAGATTCATTGTGATTCCTTCCTGAACTCAGGATTTGTAAATGAAGCCTACACTCCCTTTGCTCCTTATCGATTCCAGGTCGATTCAATAACATCGACCCCTGGTTTACAAAAGGCACCGTCTGTGCCTTCTGCACTGTAGCTACCTTGGCTTCCTTACAAATTCAGCCCGTATAGGAGCAGGTGAAGTAAATCACCTTCATCAGAAATATGGCGCCAGAGATATCCTAACCCAGTACCTGAGTAGTCTATTTGTATCTGTCCGAACAGCGCTGAAGTAAGAGTCACTGAATAAAGTATCACCGATTCCACACCCTTACCGGTGTTCTTCGTACCTTCGTTTGATGCGTCGCGTAGTTTGTCCTATATATGGTTTTCATCATTTCGACCAATTTCGTAAATTCCTCATCTTCTGAGTAGGTCCATTCCAACTTCTGAATACCTTAATAAATTACCTAGAAATGACCCAGACCAATATACACTTCCAAAACCTCAGTCTCTGATAACCTTATCAAGTACTTTTGTATTTACCAAATGACGGATAGAACGATTTGAGAACAAATTTTAGAACAAAACCTGGGATCGAACGAAATTGTAATCCTTTCCAAATCATTTTTATCTACTCGGAAAGTCGTATTATTTCGATCCCACATTCACTAACTCCATGACATCATTGGAAAGTCGGCGAACTATCTATTTTCTGAAGTTAATTCTACTAGAGATACCTGACACACAAACTTGACAAGCCTAGTCAGTACATCATCTCGTCGTCAACCTTGAGATATTATGTCGGACAACCCTTTTTTATAACTCATTGATCTCTAGAACGACAAAGCTCAAATTTTTTTCACCAAAGTAAGTATTTGAACCTCCAAAAGTTTGAAATAATATTCCGATACCTTTTCTCTCTATCCTTCCCAGGTACACTCCAGAAGTTGAAAGATCGTATGCTTGCATGCTAAACCTTGGTATACCTTGAGAATTGAAATTATATGCTATTCAGGTGTGAGCTCACTTTTTGAACGATATAACAAGCGGTGTTCCTATGAAGCAGCTCCAACACAGTGATCTCATGAGAAAAAGACAATAGTCACTCTATATATTCAACAATGAAGAACGTCATCCTTTTTCGTTCGACAGTAAGCGTTCACTGCTAATTCGTTATCTGGTATAGATCTGAGAACAGAATGAACAGTGAAGTTAAAAAGTCAACTAGGACAATTTTGATACTCAATTACTGCCGGGGATGCTTGTTTTCAAAGTTCGGCAGCAATTGAAGAATTTATGAGCAATGGACTGCACGTATCCATAAATTAAAAATCATTGATGAAATGGCTACTTATCCAAACTCGTCCTACACTAGATCTTCGCAGAATACAGTAGAAGTAGTACGCTTGAGGCAGATGAGAGACATTTTCAGATGAGCAAAGGCCTGTTCTGAGTTTCAACTCAACCTTATTTGTACGAATTCCATAAATTTCTCGGTTCCGATGAGACTTGTGGATTCTCCTTATTTGGGTATCCCACTTGATTCCTGATGAAATGAGAACAACGAATATAATTCATTTTCCTGTTTCTCGATCATTTCACCGGATTCACAAGATTGAAGTCCTGTGTTTGTTCAGTTTCTTTAAGAGAGATGATATTGATATATTTGTTCAAAATCGATAACAATAGTGGAGTTGAGAAGTGCTATGACTTTTTGAATTAATTCTTTTTTCACGAAATAAACAACTTTTTTGTTTTTTATAATGAAAACCTGACGTCTCAGTCGACTCCGTACGGACTTACCAGAGGTTCAATGATTGTCGGCTACTTAGTACTTACGGGGGTGGTGTTCCACGATTGCTGATGACCGTTACTTCGTTATTGATGATTTGATCTCCTCCTCCATTGGAATAATGGGCCGTACCACGTCCTCTGGAAGGACTTCTGCGAGAAGAAAGTATCTCATTATCAATTCAATTTTGTTCACTTAGGCATGACCCAGGAACCACAAACACGATACTAATTTGGAATAACTACTTCTAGTATACGGTAGTTAATGTCATACTTCCAGGAGGTTATTGTACATGCACATATTCTTCCGATATAAGAAAGAAGTGACTGCAGATGAGTTTCTGTGCCCGCAAAATATTTATGGCGTGCACGTACATGACGTCACTCAGAACACGCGATATCTGCGAGATGCCATTTTTTCCACATATTAGGAGGATGGTCGAGTGAGGACTTTGTACAGATTTTTCAGGAAGGATATTTTCAAATACTGTCTGTAGGTTAATCGAGGAGGTGGAAGATTCATTTTATTTGATTTTTTGGGATTTTCTCTCCTCGTTTCTATGAAATGAAGATATGCGTATTATTTCAATATATTTGTAGTAGGACAAATCAGATAATTTGCCCCAAAAGTAACTGCGTTCAACAAATTTTTCTATCAGAGAGCGTAAAAGAGAAATCCAGTAGCTTGTCAGTGACAATTTGTTTGAAAAATGTTTGAAGGAAAGAAATATAGATATATTGATATCAAAGTTTCACTCATCTTTGGACGTTTCGAGACCGAATCTGCTCCCGTTCTCAACATGCGAATGCAAAATATTTCTTTATGAAAGTTGTTGCTTATAGTTTGACACTTCTCAGTGTCATACTGATGTTGGCATATGCATAAGTGATTTCAGTCTACAAATGAGTTACAGGATAATTTCATCAATTGATCTTGAATCTATCATTGTCATGTTCAGTTTTCAGTAGTGAATACCATGTTTTATCTATATCAACTGGATAGGAAGCAGAATGCAATCAATCGTATTCCTTAATTTTTCTGTTTTGGTTGTTATCTTCCTTTCCTATGATTTTGATATTATTCCACTCTGCCATATGTTGTCATGTCGTAAAAAGACTCATACTAACGGATACTTCAATTTTCAATCAAATCATCATAAAACTATCGAAAAAGGAATAATCAAATCACTACATGATCGAGCCAAATCAATATCATCTAACAAACAAATTTTCAATAACGAAATCCACCACATTGAAGATGTTCTTCAACTCAACTCATATCCAAAGAACTTCATTGATAGAACGATACACCAAATTGAAAACAAACAAAATACACCACGACAAAAATAACCATCAATAACGACGAATATAATACCGTACACTCCCGGCATATCTGAAAAGATAAAACGTGTTGGTGATAAGTTCCGAGTGAAAACTATGTTCAAAACTGAAAATACAATGAGATTCATTCTAACTCGAACGAAGCCAAAAAATTAAGAACAATCATCAAAAAATTGTATTTATAGTATACCTTGTGTTTGTGGAAAGTATTATACAGGTGAAACGAAAAGACCTTTGTCAGTGAGGACTAAAGAACACAATTACAATATCAAGAAAAAACATATTGATAAATCGAAGCTAACTGAACATATCCTGACTGAAGATGGACAACATATGGCAGAGTGGAATAATATCGAAATCATAGGGAAGGAAGATAACAACAAAAAAAGAAAAATCAAGGAATCCGCTTGCATTCTTCTGAACGGAGACAATAGCATTGCTTCCTGTTCAGTTGATATAGATAGAACATGATATTCACTACGGAAAATTGAACATGAAAATGGTAGATTCAAGATCAATTAATGGAAACATCCTGTAATTCATTTGAAGACTAAAATCACTCATGATTATGCCAACATGAATATGAAACTGAGGAGTGTCAAACTCTTTCAAATTGAGATATTTTGCATTGTTATGTTGAGAACGAGAGCATATTCGGTCTCGAAACGTCCAAAGATAACTAAAAATTCGATATTTTTTCAATATATCTATATTTCTTTTGATCAAACAATTTTCAAACAAATTGTCACTGACAAGCTACTAGATCTTTTAGGCTCTCTGACAGAGAAACTCGTGAAACGCAGTGAGTTATTGGGGCAAATCATCTGTTTTTTTCCTACTACAAATATATTGAAATAATACGCATATTTTCATTTCATAGAAACGAGGAGAGAAAATCCCAAAATATCAAGTGAAATGAAGGATATTTTCCTCCGATTCATTCGATATTTCCAGTGAATACGTCTGAACTGGGAAAAGCTCTGCCCCTGTCTATCATTGACTGGAATTACACCTCAAATTCTGTTTTATACGAAGAAATATATGATATTGAATTGATACCTAATTCGCTGGGGAGTGACGACATGTACGTTCCTGCAATAACCAATATACACGCACATCAACGTATCTCTAGTCGCAGTCTGTGAAGGATTGGATCTAGGATTCCATTTCTCATGCAAAAATGTCTGCGGAAAAAATGTTTCGGAAAAAAATACTCTTCAATCGATCTCTCATGAGACAATTCCGCCTTCCCCACATACAGTAATAAGTTCAACTTAGATATTCAATAGTCAACCTAAAACGGTATGAAGTTGGGATAGGGTCTGGAATAATTCCAAAATCAGGTGAATAGGACAACTTATTCATCATTGGAAAACATACATTATTTTTTGTATCCACCATAAATCACACGAAACTGAACTTCGAATAATATTTCAACAAAATTCATTACCAGCTACACTTTCATTACTTAGTTTCATCGGCGATAATAAAAATGATGGGGGATGGGTAACTTATGAATAATAAGCATGTGAATCTCGATTGCAGAAATAATCTTGAAGACATCAGCAATTCTTGGCATCCTATTTTGGAATCATAATCTCTCAATCCACGTTGAAGTCATATTGCAGTCGAACATGGAATTCATTGAGTAGGCTAGTCGACATTAAAGTTCCACTGAACAATATAAGGTCCTTTCTTTCGCACGGAAAGTGGAGAACTCACCCACACTTCGTGAAATTCACACTGTATTCTAGTAGGTATTCCTTCTAAAGGTGCTTACCGAATCGAAATAATTCATCCCCATCTATTCTTGGAAAGGTGTGAAGAGCAATAAAATGAAGTTAATAAAATTAATGTATTTAATAATGGAATTTCAATTGAAATGAATGACCCGCTCGAGATGAGGCTTCGCATTCCTTCGTGGTCACTTTGGAGACCTGCATAACATCTCTTTCCAAAGACTCGTTCTTTCAACGAACAGTGAGGCTCTGGAGCACATTGCCAAGGGAGGTGTTCCCCGAGGCATATCACCTCCAGAAATTTAAGAAGAACACTAATTCCTACCTTAATTCCCTTGGTTCTCATCATGTTCTCTGAACATTACAGGATATCCCTTTTCTTGGGAACCAGAACATAAAAAAAAAACATCAATAGACGGATAAAACCGAGTTAGCAATAAGTGTGAATCTCTATTTGGTGACTGCTTTGCACTGATAAGAACCAATAGTTCGAAACTTGTGTTTTGCACGTTATGTGGAAATGAATTTCCGCACTTCCATACATTTATTCCACTTCGAAATTGTGGCTCTTTATGAAACATCAATCATTGGAAATAAATATTTAGTACACCTGGATACCGAATAGTTAGGTGGCCTGAATATCAGCTGATTTCCATAAAATTATCAATGTTAGTAATCTATAATACATATTATGATATAGTGTAATGAGTGCCCCAATTTTCACACGAACAAAAGAAAGTATCTAGGTGAATGATGGGAGTAAGGGTGCAAATTTTGCTATTATTTCAAAGTAAATAGGGTGTTCAGATATTTCGATTCATAGGTGAATGCATTCTAGGATAACGATAAAAGTGTATGATGCAGTAATGAATTCTAGATTCGCTGGTTGGGAACAGTGGAAATATGAACTCGATGGGCCAAGAACATATCCATCCGATTGCTCCGAGGTTCTCGAATATAAGATTTTGTGAACATTCCGATCTTCCTTGGATGGAAATGTACGTTAACATGATCGTTCGTTGGGTTTCCAAACTGTACGGTTAAATGATATTAATTTTGAAATGTATCTAGGAACCAGTATCATGAACAGATATATTCGTTATTTATAATTGTTACACTGCAAAGTGAATGGGGGATGATTTCAGATATACCCTCCTTGCAACGAGAATCGAACTTTCCTTTATTCGGTGTTCTATTCAGACAAAATATCTTGCAACCAAATTCTCTGAAATGACTGACATCAGGTTTGTTTCCTGTCCAAACTTCGTGAGGAGTCATTCCATCGAGACTTTTGCTGGGACAACGATTCCGAATATAGTTCGCTGTATTCACAGCTTCAGCCCAAAACATTGCTGGTAGACCGGACTGCATATGAATGTTCCAGAAAATTGGCACCCCTCATTGAACGCCAGCTATTGATAATGTATGTTCCCGTTATTGAACATGTCATTGAAATAAAGTTATATCAGTATCAAATTCGAGAGCACTTCGACGTAATTTGTGATGATTATTTGAACTAGAACCTTCAGAGAGACCCTAATGGAACTGAATGACCACGTACTTTGACGCGCACAGATCTAGCTATCATTCGAAAAATGGTTTATTCATCATCATTTGTTGTCAACTTCACATTATTTCAACTTCTCAGTGAAACATATTCATTTCATGAACGTTGAATATCAGTTGGAATAGTGTAAAAAACGGTAATGGTTGAAGACTTCGACGTCGAATTTCAGTTGAGAACAACCAATTAATATCCACGTAATTTGAACGTTATATCTCCTTCGAATTAGAACTTCATATTAATGCACAGCCACCATCGAGCGTTGAAATGGAACTCTGAGAATTCTGAATGATGAAACGTTATTTTAACTTGGAGAGGCACCTTCGAATACGAAGTATTAGATAATCATTTCTGAAAATGACAGGTATCTCACATGAATAAAGAAGATTACCGGAACAAAAGGAAAATAGGCAATTTGAACATTTGAAATCTACTGATTTATAACATGTGGTGGTATTGAATGTACGTGGATAGTGAGTTATTTACAAACATTCATTCAATCCTAACGAGAACAGACATGATAATGATTCAAGTTTGAATTATCGATATATTAAATACTCATCCAGTGGACACATGAATCAAAGTTTATCTCATGTTTGAAAATCACATTATTCAGTTTCGATCACATATACAGTGTGTCCACCTTAAGGACTTACCACCCCTGTAAAATCGTTATTATCCGACCAATTTCAAAAAACCTTTTTTTGTTGAATAGGTATTTGAAATGCCCATCCAACGAGAGAGTGATCTAATTCTTGGACTTTATCGTGGCCAACTGCGACAAATTTCAATGACGCATATTCCAGAAAGTACTAATAGGGATTTTTTTCTATGAAACTTGATGATGGATTCTGAATCAGTACCCCTTGAAATATACCTGTACCGATTTTCATCATCATAAAACACAGGGTGTCCGAAAAAACGAATCATCATTTTCTTCAAATAGGTGATCAGCAAATGTAGTTCTGTGGTTTTTCTAGAGAGAAATAATCACAAATTATCATTGAGGATTATTTCGAATATACCTGTACCAATTTTCGTCATTTGAATATACAATGTGTCTGAGAAAAAAATTAAAAAGGATAGGTAAGCAATATTTTTCATCCTGATAATTCTTCACTCAAAATAAAAAGATGAATCAGGGTCACTTGGAACATACCTGTACCGATTTTCATCATCATTAAACACAGGGTGTTCGAAAAATCAAATTAATACATTTTTTTGAGTTGATGAAAAAATATTGCCTACTTTTTCTTTTTAATTGTTTTCTCATACACATCGTATATATACAATACAATATATACAATACTACATCACCTATCAAAAAAACATAATTCGTTTTTTCGGACACCCTGTGTTTTATGATGATAAAAATCAGTGAAGGTGTTTTTCAAGTGATCGTGATTCAGAATCCATCATTGTTTTTTGTGAAAAAAAATCCCTAATAGTACTTTCTCAAATATGGGTCAATAAAGTTGGTCGCAGTTGGCCACGATTACAGTTCATGAGTAAAATCACTCTCTTGTTGGTGGACATTTCAAATACCTATCCAACAAAAAAAAGTTTTTTGAAATCGGTCAGATAATAACAATTTTACAGGGGTGGTAAGTCCTTGAGGTGGACACACTGTATATATATATGCAAAGTCGATGTCCAACAATTGGTTCAAAATCTACTTGAAAATACTTCATTATTTGGTAATCAAACGTATACAGTACAGGTCAGATTATCATCTCATCATTCCAATATCACTACACAAGTAGCACAAAGTTGATTTCATCATTATAATGACTCCTCATACCGTCTCAAAGACCACATATTTGCGATGGTTCACGACCAAAAAGCTAATGTGCGATTTATAACATTAAAAGGTTGACAGTGACAGTGACAGTAAGAATGACGAATCAGACGACTCCAGTGAGGTGATTCTGATGAAGATATAGAGGTGATGGCGAAGCTGGTGTAGAATACTTGGAAATATATTTAAATTTCTAAGAAGAATTGAAGAATTGGGAATTAGTTCATAATGAGATTTTTTCAAAGATAGAAGCCATTATACTGTGAGACAATTCATGAATAAGAGTAAGTTTCAAGATAACATCAGATTATAACAAAAACATTTAGACTAGTATTTTCAACACCCTTGATCTCGAAAACGACGCATTCAAAAGTATATGTTTATGGAAACTTTTTTTATTATTTTCACGAGTACAACACAACTGTTGAATTTTATGTTTCACAAACTGGACCACCCTGTATACGGAATTATTCAGATGTATGGAACCATCCATTTGTCTCAGTATCTTCTGGATTGAAAATGTGGCGGTTCGAAAAATTATATCGCCAATGTTGCCACGTTATCAGTCTTTCCAAGATAATTATTAACTTCCTTATTCGAAATAAAACACTTTATATATCTCTTTATCATTCGATAGATGAATTGTCAGAGAATTCACTGATATTCTATTTCATAGGTCTATTCACAATATTCACTAAGATATCTGGAAAAAAATTATTCCTGAATAATTTGAAACTGATTTTACAAGGAGGCTGAAGGAAAATGTCATACTTCTGTGTTAATTATCAGCCAATTCTGATTCAATATCAATAATTTTCCTGACTGAAGAATATATCATTCCATGAAACAACTCATCTTTTTCAATAATGATTATGTTACTCTCGAAAAAGGACCGTATTGAGATATTGATGATGATCGGATTCGGATATGAAAGAATGAACTCACAAAGAAGTTTCAGATCTCTTCAATACGAGTCACCCAGATCGAGAACCAATATCACGAAGTACTGAGCTAGTTTCAATGATGTGAACCCCCCTTCATCTATCTTTCATCATTTTTTAGATATATGTGTGAATATTGTGAATAAAACTATCGGATAGAATATCAGTGCACTCTTTGAAAAATTTCCCATCAAATAATATAAAAATATATATAATGTTCTATTTGGAATGACTGGTTACTGAGATATATAGATGATTCCATATATTTGATTGAGTTTGTATAAATAAAGAAAAACATTGAGAATTCGCATTCTCTATGTGATGAAAATATCATTTCTTCTTTGGTTCATTCAACAAAAACTAACAACTTTCTCGACTATATGCCACGACGAACACTGAATTATATGAATTGAACACAGACGATAAGAATTTGATAACAAAATCTTATGAAGTTGAGAATTAGCATTCCACGTCCTTTATGATGAATATTAATTTGTCATACCTACATTCAAATAACATCACGACTACATTATAACGTCGATGTGACGTCGCAAAATAGTGTGTCTATTTATCGTATTGCATACATACCGACGTCAGAGCATAGTAAAAGACGTAGGTCACGGACTTTTGAATATGGTCTTGAAGATGTCTCTACAACCCATTCATAACCTATGTGTGCTACTTGGGTACTCCAAATTGACCAAACGCATATTTCGAACGTTTTTCCAGTTTTTTTGCCCATAGAGCAATAATTTTCGTGAGAAGGTACCTACATGTATGAGTCGTCTTTAATCAACGTATCGTCAACTCCATTCGTCAACGTGCATAAAATTTTATAAATTTCAATTGAGTAACGCTTGGATTTCGCCAACGCTCGCTACAAATTTCTAGACACAAAATAGAATGAAAATATGATCTGATGTCACAGACCCTGATTTGTCTCAGTACCAGCAGACCAAAGAGAGTGAGATAGAGAGAGTCAAGACCCTGATAAGTAAATCAACAGTGAAAATAGGCAACTAGGAAAGAGCCAAATACTCGAAAAGGAATGCGATGATCACAAAGAGGAAGCAACTAAAAGTCTTCACCATGATAGTTGATAAAATAAACAAAAATGCTAGATAACGAGAGAAAAAAAAACTACTTTCCTGGCGTTATGCCACGCAGAACGCAATCATTTATATGGACGAATAAAATCGAAAAAAGTGTTTCCTTCCTAAACGCCGAACTGCGCCTGATTGGTTCAGGAACGCCTGACTACCGGCAGACCGGTTTCGAGCTGTCGGCTCTCGTCAGTGCAGGGCTGTCCCAGATAGCCTCTTGACTGTTAACTGGTGCAAACCTGACCCAACGTGAACGCATATCAGCATTTATACCCCACGAGGCGTTCGACATCCGCGAAATGAACGCGAACGCCGAACGCCACTTGGTAAGGAGAGAAACACTTCAAAACAAGATCTTATTGCAGTTGAAATGGAAGTGGCTGGTCTCCTGACTGGCATATTATCAACTGGAAATGAGCCGAATAATCAAAGTGGAATGCAATGGTCACAAAGAGAGAAAGAAACTCAAAGTCATCACCACAACTACTTTTCTGGCTATATGCCACGCAGAACATTGGATTACATCATAGACTTATGAGGATAACATCCTCTCGAAATCTATGCAATAATTCTTATAGACGAATAAAATCACAAGTTTTTCCTTTCAAAACGCCTTGCTCTGCCTAAGTGGTTCAGGAACGGGTCACTACCTGCAGACCGGTTTCGAGCTGTTGGCTCTCATCAGTGCAGAGCTGTCCCAGATAGCTCCTTGACCGCTATCTGGTGCGAACCTGACCCAAGGTGAACGCATCTCAGCATTTATACCCCAAGAGGCGTTCGACGTCCGCGAAATTAACGCGAACGCCGAACGCCACCTGACAAGAAAAAAAAACACTTCGGAATGAGATCCCATTTCAGGTGGAATGGGAGTGGCTGGTTGCTCGACTGGCATATTTTCAACTGGGAATAAGCCAAACAATCAAAGTGAAATGCAGTGGTCATAAAGAGAGTTCAAGAAATGAACATAAATGGTAGATAACAGTGGAAATTTTGCGTGCGACTATAGTTTTTTAGATTCAAATATCCCTTTATCGACCACATCATTCTATCTGGAACCTGTGACAGTTGCTGAAGTTGAATCAATAATTAGTAGGCTCAAATCCTCCAATTCTTCTGGTAATGACAACATTTCCAATAATTTATTGAAAGAAATGCATCTCCTGGATTAATGCTCCTCTGAATTACCTGATCAAATTTTGTTTTCAAGAAGGAATATTCCCAGAGAATTACAAACTCGCAATAGTTCAACCTCTGTACAAGAAAGGGGATCCAAATGATTTTGTAAATCACAGAGCAATCAGTCTGTCATGCAGTATCTCTAAAATGTTTGAGATGGCAGTGAAGGATCGATAAACCAAGTATTTAGTCAAGTACAAACTCACCGGAACAACATGGTTTTTGCAGTAACGAAAGCACAGAATCAGCACTCTGTGAGTGCAGTCAGAAAATAATTTCAAGTATCGACAAAAAAAATTTTGTTTTGGGTATTTTCATTGACTTCTCAAAGGCGTTCGATCTAGTGAATCATCAGTTACTTTGTGCCAAGCTAGAAAGACATGGAATAAGAGGTTTGCCACTGAATTTGATAGATTCGTATCTCAGCAGGAAAAAACAAATAATCCGAGTGAACGAAACTTTCTCTGATGAAATGGACATCGAGCAAGGTGTGCCACAGGGTTCTGTTTCAGGTCCTCTTCTTTTCAATAGTTTCGCTAATGATCTTATACTTTATATTCGGAAGATCCAGAATGTTCATGTTACGTGTTATGCAGATGATACGAATATTTCGGTTGTTGATGAAGATCTGAATAAGCTGAAAAGTACTGCTGAAATGGTTTATTCGGATATTGAGAAATGGTCAAAAAATAATAATCTTCAACTTAATCATAAAAAAAACGATAACTGTTCTTTTTGGTTCTAGTAGGATTGATGTAGTCAAGCTATTTGAAGGTTCTGATAATGAAATAACAAGCAGCATGTCAGTGAAACTATTGGGAGTTACTTTCGACAGGCAGCTTCATTGGGTCGATCATATCAATGATTTGTGCTAAAAATTACAGAGTTGCTGTTATAGTCGTCTGAAATTTATTAAGAACCACTGCAGTCGGCACATACTACTCTAACTGCTAGATCTCATAACTAAGAGATCCAGGATGAACAGAGTTGCCCAATTGTCAGCAGGAGCGAGACAGTACTGTTTCGACCCACCAGGTCTCATCAGCCGCTCTCGGTCTGCTGACAACTGGGACAACTCTACGCTTCGGGTATTTCACATTCATGCTGTAGCCATCTAGTGGCGAAGCTCTAAGGTAGGATATAGAAATCGCGACACACACTGTATGACGCTGCCATCTATAGTCAATCTGTGTTGTATTGAAACGACAAAAAAACAACTACTTTCCTGGCTTAATGCCATGCAGAACATTGGATTACATCCTCCCGAAATCTGTGCAATGATTCGTATGGACGAATAAAATCGCAAGTATTTCCTTCCTGAACGCCAGGCTGCGCCTAAATGATTCTGGAACGCGTGCCTACTGGCAGACAGACCAGTTTCGAGCTGTTGGCTCTCATCAGTGAAGGGCTGTCCCATCTTGACCGTTTTGTGGTGCGAACCTGACCTAACGTAAACGCATCTCAGTATTTATACCCCACGGGGCGTGAGACGTCCGCAAAATGAACGCGAACGCCGAACGCCACCTGGCAAGGAGGAGAACACCTCAAAACAAAATCCCATTCCAGGTGGGATAGGAGTGGCTGGTTGCCCGATTCGCATATTTTCAACTAGGAAAAAGCCGAATACTCGAAGTGGAATGCAATGGTCACAAAGAATGGTAGATAACGAGAGGAAAACAACTACTTTCCTGGCTATATGTCACGCTGAACATTGAATCACATCCTCCCGAAATCGATGCAATCATTGGTATAGACTGATAAAATCGCAGGTGTTTCCTTCATGAACGCCGGGCTGCGCCCAAGTGGTTCAGGAACGCGTGACTTCCTGCAGACTGGTTTCGAGTTGTTGGTTCTCGTGCAGAACTGTCCAAGATATCTATCTGGTTCGAACCTGACCCAACGTGAACGCATCTAGGCATTTATACACCACGAGGCATTCGACGTCTGCGAAATAAACGCGAACGCCAAAATCCACCTGGCAAGGAAACGCCAGGCTGCGCCTAGATGGTTCAAGACGCGTGACCACCGCGGACGTCGAGCGCCTAGAGGGGTATGAATGCTAATATACGTTCACGTTGGGCCAAATGCGCAGATAGCGGTCAAGAAGCTATCTGGGACAGCCTTGCACTGATGAGAGCCAACAACTCAAAACCGGTTTGCAAGTAGTCACGCGTTCCTGAATCATTTAGGCGCAGCTCGGCGTTTAGGAAAGAAATACTTGCGATTTCATCCGTCTATACGAATTATTGCATAGATTTCGGAAAGATCCCACTGAGCAAGGAACATCCCGGGGATGTTTGGTAACGTTAATTTCTTGTACCTTTGGTGACCTTTTTGAGATTACATCTTTTATAAGTGATAATAACATATTTCTGGGACGTTTTAATTCGTCTCTTATTTGGGCTGACTCTGCTACATCCCCAGATACACATCGCTGTTTCGTAACAGTAAACTGACCTATGCACGTCTATGTGATCTTATTTGAGTCAATATTCCAACGCCTTCTCCAAAGTATTCTTATTTCATCCACAGAACATTTTATGTGACTTACTTTTATCATTTTCCGTGGGACTATTATCACGAACTTGATTCGAATCAGACACGTATCTTTCTCACTTTGTGCTATTTTGCTAATATTCGCCATTTTGAGAGATGATGCTGTCGTGGTTATGACGGACGGCGTGGTTTGTGTTGTGTTGTGTTTGATGTGTCTCACAATAAAGTGTGAATTTTGACTTTTGAGGTAGACTAATAGTCAAGAAAATCAAGTGGAAGTGCGTTTTTTGGAAAACATGGTGAGATAGGTGAGTTGAATTACCAAAATCATAATTTTCTGTTTATGTATCAGCACACAGTTGTCTGATTCATAATGGCTTCAGTCATAATTTATTGTCCGGTATCTTCCTCAGTGAATATATAATTATGTGATAAATATAACTACAAGCACACAAGTCCTTTATTATTGTTCCTCTCTTTGTTTCAAATGAACTCAGTAATATTATTTGATTTTTGGGGTTAGGTCATACGCAATATAGAAAAATGTATCACCAAATAGCTATATATATGTAATCCAATGTTCTGCGTGACATATAGCCAGGAAAGTAGTTGTTAGTTACACATGAACCTGAAGATGGAGTTGGGATAAATTAGAGTGGAACATGAGAAAAATTGAAGGAAATTATCAGAAATTAGTTGACACAAAAAAAAAAAACGATACAAATGGAGTTGAATATTACAAAAAACAAAACATGGATGAAACGTGGAAAATTGACTCCAAAATATTGTTGATAAATATTATGTTGAGAAATGAGAAATCAACGTTGAAATATAATGTTGAAATTCCCAGAACACATAAACGATCCTCAAAAATTCGGAGTAATTTGCCTTCATGAATACTGCTCGAATAAGTGAGTTCGAAACTCCTTCGTGTAATGCCACATGAACACGATTAACATATCTGTGAATAGTGCAAGGATATTTTCCCAATGTAGGCCGAAGGTTGGTGTGTGGAATTAACGATACATTTTTCTTCGTGAATGACAGTGGTTTAATTGTTGTATTTTGGTCCCTCGCTAAAGCAGTCCGGATGGATTTCTCCAATGGTTCATTTCCACCACTCTTCAAAGACAACTCCACATCAGCAACAACATCGCAAGAAATTCAATGTTCGCAGCAAACTCCACCTTGGATTCCCAGAGTAGGGTGCCGCCAGATATTCCACTAGTTGAGCCAGAGGGTTTTACCTAGTCTAGCGGCATGCGTAACATATAGCCTCTGCGATAGCAAGACCGTCGTAGTGCGTGCTTGATCGAAAGACACCCTACTTGAGGTCGGCCTGTCTCTTAATAAACACTACGGATCTAGTGGAGTCAACCTCGATAAAATTAACTCTGCAAGGGCTCATTATGATGAGTGTAGGAGGCAGTGACTCCTGGAAATCCTAGCTGAACGTCTCCTTTATTCAACTAGTCTTGGGTGATGTTCCTTACATCTATCCATACTTCTCTTTTCGCCTTTCCTGGCATAATCTCTATTTCTATACTTCCTGTTTTTTCCGTCTATCTTGGAAGAATTTCTTCTCACGGGCACAGGGGAGGTGGCTGTGCCTTTCTCCTCTTGGCCACCCCTTTGGCTACCGCGTCTCCCAACCCCAAGGTATAGCTCCATTGCGCCGATAGGGTGCATGGCACAGGGACGAGATAGTGTGTCGCGAGCGATGCCCGCCGGAACAAGCAACCCAGCAGGAAAGATGCTTCACTCCTGCAAGCGGGGCTCTACAGGAGTAGACCGAGAATTCCCTAGCTACTCGTGGGAACAAATATGGATGGAATAATAAACGAAGAAATATTTTCCAAAGAGGAAAGAGAAGGGCATTGAGGTGGAGACGACCACCGCAGCAAGAGTCTGATATATCCTCTGCGAAAGCAGAAGGAGAATCGTACGCAGAACTGCTACGATCTGTCAAAGATAGAGTGAATTTCGGCAGCATTGGCGAGAACATTTCAAAAATCAGGAAATCACAGAAGGGTGATCTGGTGCTCACAGTCGAAGGCGGAAAGGGCATGGCGGAGACCCTTCGAGGAGAGATAGCAAACAAGTTGCAGTCAGCCGTGATGATGGCAAGGGCAAATTGCACCACATCATTCGTTAACGGAATTGATGCTGCAGCAACCTCACAGGAGGTAATAGAAGCCATCAAGAAGGAAACGGAGGAAAAACTACAGAACATCGAGATGAAGGCGATGAAATCTGGATTGTTTGGCAGCCAAACGGCAGCACTAAATAGGAACAGCGGGTATACTGATCCAGAAAGGCTCTCTAAAAATAGGATGGATCAGTTGCAGAGTTAGGGAGAGAGTGATAGTAACGAGGTGCTATAGATGACTTGGCTTGTGTATTGTGAGGGAGCTGGACACAGAGCCAGGGACTGCAATGGAGAGCCCAATTGCATGAATTGCAATACCAAAGGGCATAGGTCAGATCAGACGATGTGTCCTCACTACAGGAGACTACGAGACGATTATAGGAGTCGACGCAAGGGCTATGCAGCGTAGTCTCAGAATTCTGCAGGCAAATTTAATTAGGTCTGGAGAAGCACACGACATTGCTAGTATAACGCCAGCGTCCAGATGTATTGGTAACCTCAGAGCCGAACGAAAAAAGGGCATCAGGATCTGGCAGATGGATCTGCGATAAGAGGACAGACGTGGAACCGAAAGGTCCTAGAGAAGGGAATTTTTTCCATGCAAGGCTACCAAGGAGTGCATCTAGATATTTCTCTCCTGGTGGCCGTGTATATTTCGCTCTGGCGGACTTCAAGAGGAAAGTTGACGGAGTACTTCTGACTTCTGTAGCAACAACGAAGGAGACTATTTCGTAATAAGGGACTTCAATGCTTAAGCTGCACAGTGGGGGTTGCCAATATATGACCAGAGGGCAGAGTATCTGCTAAATGAACTGGCTTCCGCGAACTTGATGATTCATAACGCAGGAGGAAGACCAATGTTCGTGCGGGTGACCAGGTCTCTTACATCGACCTGACACTCTCCCCAAGCCAGATGGGAAGACGTACAAGAAAATGGATAATCCTAGAAGAGAAAAGCATGAGTGATCACAGGTACATATGTTCCGAAGTGGTCGACGAAACACGCTCCGTACAAGAGGGAAGGGCAACGGAGGCGGTCGACTGGGACACCTTCAGGACATTGGTGCAGTGGTTGAGCCTGGAAGCCAACAATCACGAGGCAGGCATAAACCTCATGAAAAACTCATACCAGAGCAGTATGACAAGGAGTATAAGCGGAATCAGGAAGTTGTCCTACTGGTGGAACGAGGAGATCAAGGATAAGGAGGAGGAGTGTACGAGGATGAGGAGGCGGATCCAACAAATGGCAGCAGGATATACGGCAGATCAGCCTGCTGATAAGAGTGACATCCTCATGGAGACGAAAAGGAATTGGAAAAGGCTTATCAACGAATCGAGAATGAAACAGAAGCTGGAATTATGCAACGAGCTAAACGAGGACATATGGGGTGATGGCTATCGTATTTCACTAGGCAAGCTCAGCAAGCCGACGCCGGTAGACCTCTCCACAGCACAGGAGATGACTATAGCTGAGAGCCTGTTTCCGCAAATTCATAATGGTATATGGCAGATAGAGCCAACGGTTCACGGAAGGGCCGCTCAACTGTGCAAGCTGTCGAAAAGGTGCGGAGCGAAGTAGGAGGCTGTCGAGAAAAGTGGCTGGCACTGATAACGTTAGATATCAGGAATGCCTTCAACACAGTGGCATGGAGAGAGGTAGAGAAAGAGCTAAGAAGACGTCAGATACCGGCTAACCTCCGGAATATTCTAGGTCTATACCCTTGCGATAGGAAGGTGTTGGTGGACAAGAAGAAATACACAGTTACGGCAGGCGTCCCACAGGTGTCAGTTCTGAACCCTCTTCTCTAGAACGTAGCTCATGACGGAGTTCTCAAAGGGCATCTCACAGATGGCGTTCGAACCATCGGATTCGCGGATGACCTGGTCCTTATTGCCAGAGGAGAGGATGTGAGGCAACTGGGGCACAAGGCTAATGAGTCGCTCAGACGCAGAGATGGCTCATCGACAAGCAGCTGGACCTTGCTCCAGAAAAGACGAGAGCAATAAATCCTCAGGGGTAAGTAAAGTTCAGCGAGAGGAGCCAGTATTTCAGCTCATGGGCATGGAGATCAGAACCCAAAAGTGAAGTTCGATACCTCTGAACAGTTCTGGGTGATGTTGGTAGCTCTGGCGAACACATTAAATATGTCACCAGGAAGGCGCAGGATTGGTTGGAGAAATTCACTGGAATCATGGAGAATATTGGGAGACGTAGCAGTGAGACACGACTGCCTTTAGTGGGGTTGTTCACTCTATACTGCTCTACGGAGAGCCTGTATGGGCGCAGGCAATGAGAATTAATAGGTATCGACATATAATAAAGAGGACACAGAGGAGGGCGCTATTGAGGGTAGCTAGTGGCTTTTTTTTATCGCTTGGAGTGCACGGAAGGGAATCCCTATAATGTTCAAAGAACATAGGGAGGATAGGGATAGGATGTAGGTACAACATCACTCAGGGCGATACAGACGATAACCAGAACCATACACATACACCTTCTAGCACTGGAACGGAAGAGAATGTATGAGAGGAAAGACGGCAGAGCAGCGAGGGCAGGAGAGAGAGAAGAGTCTCTGAGAGCATAGCAGGAGGAATGGCAGAACAACGAGCCGACAGCACAGTGAACGGAGTGCTTGATCCCAGATGTTGTGCCTTTTTACAAATACAACCACCGTCAACTCGACTACTATCTGACGCAATTCTCAACGGGCAATGGATGTTCCAGGACATACACGAGGAGGATTGGAAAATCGGAGTCGAATGCCTGTATGTACTGCACGGATGCAGCAGTAGAAACACCCTCTTCAACTGCAGAAGGTGGAAAGACGTGAGACACAGGACTTTCACGCTGATAGGAGAGATCCCGATTGCGATTGGGTTAGTTGACTTGATGCTGAAGAGCAAACAGAACTAGGAGACAGTAAGGTAGATGACCAGGAAGATTTTGACGAGACAGACGAGAGAGAAGCACAAAGATGTTCGATTAAGGCAAGGCAGGATGATTAGGCTAGACCGCTCATCACTGCAAAGAATGTTGAAAAACGATGCCGCGGAAGTGAGGCTGAAGGGGAAGTCAAGCAGTCGGTAGAAGTCCGGCACTGCTGACTTGCGATAGATAGGCGAAGCAATCAGCGTCCATGATGAATTTCCTCCCTTACGAAAAAAACAAGAATTGAAGTCGAATGCCCTACATTTCCTCTCGTCAACGCACTAGCAGACGCATTCTGCTTGGTCTCAACATGAATAATTCCAATAGTCCTAATGAATTTTTATTTTCATCGTTCTCGAAAAGTGTGCACCAGAATTGACATCGATTCTCTGCAAGCTATTAACCATCTCCTACACGTCGGGTATTTTTACATGTTGCTGGAAAATAGGTAGAGTTCAAATAATGCTCGAAAAATATAACAAGAGCCTGCCAAACAAATTTAGGTCAATTGCCCTATTATCGATGATCTGTAGAAAGCCATCAACATTGAGCTCATCAAATACCTGGAAAGCTCAGGATTCATTGATGATAGATGATATGGCTTTCGCAACCAAAGATCAACCGGAGATTCACTTGCCTACGTCACTCATATATGGCAAACTTCATTGAAAGAACATGGTGGATCTCTACCTGGAGCGCTAGATACATCGGAGACATTCGACCGTGTTTGGCACCAAGGACTGCTCCACAAACTATTATCATATGGCTCACTACCTCAGCTATGCCATCTTCCATCGAGTTTCTTGTAGGCAGATCGCCCCATGTGGTGGTGGACGGAGTATTGTCTGATACTATCCCCATCAATTTTGGCGTTCCACAAGGATCAATCTTAGCACGAAAATTGTTCCTACTTCATATCAACGATCTATTAGGAACAACCACTTGACCTATTCACAGCTTCGCAGACGATAGTACTCTCTTTAATGCATTATCTCCTAGAATTTCCATTTCATCCCAGGAAACTAAGAACATGTGACGAAGGCAGCTCAACGTTGTCCTACGGAAATAATAGCCTGGAGTACCAACAACCTAGTTGAATTTAACGCCACCAAAACGCAAGCATGTATTATCTCTAGAAAAGCGGAACTTAGTATGCCTGATATTATAATGTCTGGTACCACCATTTCCACCAAGACCACTTCATCTATGCTCGGTTTTACCATCAGCAATACTCTCTTATGGTGAAATCATATTCGATCCATCGCAGGAGCTGCTTCACAAAGACCCGTCTTCATGTTTCGTGCGAGAATCTACTTCACACCACAACAGCTCCTGATGATCTACAGAGCAAAAATCTGGCCATTTCCAGGATACTGTTCTCATGTATGAAGTCAAGCACCCAAACGTTAGCTGATGCTCTTAGATTCCATTCAAAGAAGAGCCATTTGCCTGGTGAGTGATGCCACACTCACCAACTCTTTGACCGCATTAGAACACCGTAGGAAAGTCGGCGATATGTTCCTCCGAAATCGCTGCTATAATTCCATCAACAGCAATGTCAGTCAGACCAACTCGACAGGCCTGATCAGCACATCTTTTCGTCATAAACCTTTAATAATGTCGAACAACACTCTAACAAAACTCGTTCGGCCATAGCACGGCGAAGCTTTGGAATTCTCAACTAATGGAATTATTCCCAAGAACGTTCAAGAAAGTTCAAGAAAAATTCCAACACCTCCTCTTCCTGCCCTCCCTAGGTACGCCCGATGTCCATACCATGAAAATTATAGAAATTTCCTTTCGTGCGCTCCAAGAGTTCGAAAAACGAACTTAGAGTTATCGAACATTATAGGCGACATCAAAGTTTTCGCATCTGTATAGTTGGGCGATTTGCGCCTTGGTGTTGAACATACGAAACGATGTCACGTTGAAAATACTTCATTCTATTTCAGTTCTCAAGAATGTTATCAAGAAATAGGTATATTTTCAATTAGTTCACGGTGATATCCAGAAAAAAAAAGGGGAAATTGGCGATGGAATCAATGATGAGGGCATGCAATAAGCTTGGATGTCTTGAAGAAACAATGACATTAATTAGTAGTATTAGTTAGTAGTATCAGTAGTAGAAAATATACTTCATTGGTTTGTATGTGAGCAGAACATACTAAATGACCAACAATCTTAACAGAGTTAAGTCCTCCAGCCCAAAGTATTCTGAATTGTGTGTTCTGTACAGGCTTTGTTTTTCACTCCATATGCTGTTGAAACGATAGAGAGAATCGTGCAGGACTATCCCCAGTCGATGCTTCGCAACTAAACAATATTCAATGCGTGAATTGAATTTATGAAAGATTCCTTGCTCTGGCTGGGATTCGAAATTACGACCCCGCGATCATGAGTCGAGCGCTATTCCAATAGTTTCACTGTGTCAGTCCTGTCCTTCAAATTTAAATTGATTCCTTGTGAAGGCAGGAAAGTAATAATGAAGCCAGACTGCAATATCAAGTAGTGTGTGGATCTTGACAAAAAAAAATTGTTGCTTCACTGCTAAGAAAATCACCAGAAGAACTGAAGAATGACGAAGAAATCGACTCACAGATGGCGGGCCTGATGTATGCTAAGATACCCAATTGATAATGATGGTGACTATCTATCCATATCATTCCTTATATTAAGTTTATGACTTATTCGTTAATTTCTAGCAGGAGATGATATATCGCATGTAAAATGGTCATATTATTATTCATCATGAATATTAATTTATGAATATTTGCATGTCAATTCGTATTGTGATCAGCAGTAACTCATTGACAACCCAAAAGATATATAGCTTGAGAGGAAATTTCGTTTCGATTTCAACTGGAATCGGAAGATGTTCATATTATCAACGGTGCAAATGTATTTCGTGGAAGTAGATTGACAAGAGAGCAATCGCCATATTCGATTCACTGCTTAGGAAACTGAAATCAAGGCCCACCGTAGTTATTGGTTTCAACAATGTGTTGAAACCAGTGCCACTTGAGAGGACATGGAAGGTACTTAAGTGTGGTGATAGCACATTCAAGAATATATTTAATAACATGCTCGATGGGAGGTGATGATGAAAATGATGATGATGATTCTACAAACAGGATCTAGAAGCAAATGTTCAGTGTGGCCAATATCACATGCAAGATTGGAGCTACCACTTTCATGATAGTGACTTTCTAGTACCTTATTGGAAGTACTGTGCTCTTTTTGTAGGATATAGTTCGCAGGGGCAACGTTGTGGTTATCGTCGGTCTACTTGTGGTAGAATATGTTCTAGTTGAGGTAGAAGTAGTAGTAGTAGTAGTCGTCGTGGATCTTTTAGTGGCGACTTCTTCAACGTCATTCAGTTCATTCCTGTCATCCCTAAGATTGTTATTTACATAATTCTCGATATACACAGAATTGAGGAACTTACCGATAGGGTTGCCTGTTCGATGATCTATAAGTATTCTGGTCATCAACCTAGAAAAAATTCTTATATATTCCATTTATCATTGAAACAGTACTGTGAAGAACATTTCATTCATATAACTAATCATTTATATTTCGTTCAGTTCTCAATAACAAAAATGATACATCTTCATGATTCTAGACAAAATGTTTCCTGCGCCGTCATTCTGGAATTGGATGTTCCCTTGTGATATGTCATAGAGAAGAGTCTCTTCTGCTCAATCAAATCAATCGAATAGCGTTAAAATATATACAGGAATGCATTTGAAATATGTGACCTAAGTCAATTTCCGGTAAAATCAGACACTTCTTGTTTCAAATAATCTTTGATTGATGAGAAATACAGGGTAGAGTCCTGTACAGAATCACAGCTCATATCCCTGAGACTAAAAAGAGCCGATTCAAAGCAATTTACCTCAGTCTGAGATTGCTTCGTTTCCGAAAAACGAGGTGACAAAGTTGATGAATGAAAATTGAATTTCTCTGGTAGTAATAGTAGTAGTAGCAGTAGTAGTAGTAGTAGTTGTTGTAGGTGGGGAGGCTGAAACCAAGCAAGTAGGCCCCGATGGGCCGTTTTTGCTAACCCCTGCCCTCCACATATCTACGATTCCTCCACCTAGATTTCCTTTACGAATCTCCGTGACCTTCTGGTGAAGGCCATTATGTCCGTTCACTCTGATATAATCAAGTCCTTCTGTTGGAGTTTGTCTACTTCAAAGATTTCAAATCTCAGCCTTCCATACGCCTCGCACTTGCCGAGAAAATGGAGTGACGTTTCCTCGTCCTCCACGCATCTGCGGCAAGTGGAGCTGTCCTCTATTCCCATAAGTGATAGGTGTCTGCCTAGCCTGTTGTCTCCTGTGAGTACTCCAATGAGGAGGCGGAGTACTTGGCGGTCTCTGCCAAGCAGCCACTCCTTCCTTGATTCGCTTGGACCGGCCATGACTTCCTTGGCCTGCCTGCAACCTATGATATTCCTTCAGTATTCTCATAGTGCCTTGTCTGCTCATTCTTTGAGTGCTGACGTAATTTGGATCCATGTTATACCTAGTACAGGCTTCAGTCCCAGAAATGGCTCCGCGGATCCGGACCTAGCAAGTTCGTCTGTTTTTTTCGTTTCCGGGCACCCCACTGTGACCCGGGACCCATACCAGTTCAACTTTCCTTGATTTGGATAATATCTCAAGGGCATTTCTACATTCCTGTACCAATGCTGAGCTCGGTCTGGGACGACAGATAGCCTTGAGTGCTGCCTAACTATCCGAACAGATGTAGATCTTCTGCTCTGGTCCCTCTTTCACCTCTTGCCTTTCTGCTACGACCAGGATGGCGAACACCTCAGCAAAAACTGTGGTGTATTTTCCTAGAGCGTAGCTTTCTCGTATGTTTTCCCCTTCGAGATAGATCCCTGCACCCGAGGCATGTTTGTCAGTCAGACGGGATCCGTCTATGTAACATACTAAGCTTCCTGGGCGAAACTCCACTTGAATTTCTCTAAATATATGAACATCCTCCAACTTATCACTTCAAAAATTGGTAGTCGGGGGTTCTTGAGGTACGAAACACAAATACGGACATCCTTCAACTATGGCAGTCAGAGGGAGCCCACCAATTCACTTCTTATGGTTCAGAATAATCACAATTCTCATGTCAGATTAGTTGTTCAGTTTCTTTGTTAGGAAAATGATTTTGTTGGAAATTTTGAGCAAAAAAGGTACTTTTGTGGAAATCCGCTGAAGTGAGCCGTTTTTGAGGTATTTTGGTTTCGAGTGTTCGATGCCAAACCGGAATATTTCAATTATTCTGAATAAAAAATGTTTGCTGCTAACCTCGTAGTTGTAATTTGGTCAGTGAATCAGCAGTGCAGAAAGGGATTTTTACAAAAAAACCCTCTCGAGTGTACCTGTCGATCAATATTTCCTTATCAAATCATCGAAAACCAAATGATACTTGTATGCGCTCTCAGGGCATGGCCCTTCATTCAATGAGAACCCGTTTATTATTTTCCTAAACATGAGCTTGTGACTATGGGCATCGACAGTTATATATATTCTGACTAGATAACTTTATGAAACTTCCTCAACTTCACTCAGACTCAGAGCTTTCCTTCCCTCCTTTGACAATACCACTCCACTTTGAATGAAGATGAAATGTTCAATGTTTGAATTCTTAAAAGAAGGGTTGCATGGAAATTCAAAAACCTACCACGCTTTATTTAATTTTATGGTCAAAAAATCCAGTGGATTCAAATTGAGACTTCGTATCGGCCAGCGGATGAGGCCACTTTTTTTATCAGGAGATGATATTCGTCAACCAAGAACTCTGTCATCTCTTGAATATCATACGGTGATGCCCTTCTTGCTGTCAAGCAAACCCTGTTATATCTATGAGGGTTAACTCATCTGCATACTTTTCGACATCAGTTTTCAAAATGTTCAGTTGAGCTGACCTGTTAATCTTCCACTAATGAAAAAAGGACCAATGACCTTGGATTATCAGTGTGAATCCAGCAACGACTTCGCCAATAATTCAATGAACGCGCCATACCACCAATGGTCGTTTATATGTCACTAATTTATACTCATGGCCATGAAATTGAGGGTACCTAATGATCGGTGTATCTCATGATATTTGTCCAGGAAAAAATTCACCCCATACACACAATATATCATAACTTCTTCAGGATGAACGTGCATGGGTTGGGTGTTGACAGATCCCGAAAATTCACCTTAAGACTACCGAAAACGCTTGGATGAACGAATGTAGAAGAAGCCATTGGCAAATCATGAACATTCTTCAATGTATCACACCGAACATTGGTAGCAAGGGTTTTTTTCGTGGTACGAAACCCGAATCCGGACTCCCTTTCACTGTGGCCATTAGAGGGCGCCCACCAATGCACTTCTTATGCTTTAAAATCTCTATCTCTTCCATATCAGTGGAGTTTTTCAGTTTTTCTGTTGCGAAAATTATTTTGTAAACATTCTCTAGCAATGAAGGTAGATCTGTCAAAATTCGCTGAAGTGAGCCGTTTTCAAGATAGTTCGGTTTGTTGTGTTCGAAGCCGCACCGGAACATTCGAATTATTTTGAATGTTCTTCGGAAATCTCTGCTATCATCCCTTCACTAGCAATACCAGTCAGACGAACTAGACAAGCCTAGTCAGCACATCCTTTCGTTGTCAACCTCGAAAGATGTCGAACATCACTTTATCAAAACTCCTTCATCCATAGATCGGCTAGGCTCTGGAATTCATTGCCTGAGGAAGTATTCCCAACAACATATAATCTCCAGAAGTTCAAAAGAAAATCCAATACCTACCTCCTATCCCCATCCCCCCTAGGAACGCACGATGTTCTTTTAACATTATAGGGATTTCCTTTCGTGCGCTCCAAGCGATAAAAAAGTATTCTAGACAGAAATATTTTATTTCAATTCGAGTAGAAATTACGTGTACTCTGAGTACAATGAAAACAAAGAGGTGAAATGTTATTCATAAAATATTTTCATTCGCTACTAACATTAACACTGTGGGATTTCATGAGGCAATTTCTTCCCAAGCATAATGTTATGTTACATTTTTCATCTTGCACGTGAGTGGCACTGGTTGATAAAACTACAATTCACTTTGTATGTCCACTAAACAAGCAGAGATGCATCATTCATAAACTTCGAGGTTATCAAAATGTCAGTTATTATTTCATTCTGGGTAATTCTAACGGTGAACTAGGTTTCTATGATGTATAGTGCAGGTTCTACACCCAGCTTGGTGTATATGTCTCTCTGGCATCCAGGTGGTGTAGGATGCCTCCGTCCACGAGCTGCGCGTCCTTGTCGTAGTTCTCGCATCGTCATTTCTTGAGATGAACCAGTGCACATTTGTCCATTTCAGGTTTCATTCCAATTGCCTGAGTGTAGTCCTGCAATACCCTGAGAGATTGGTCCATATCCCTTTCACCAGAGGCATAAAGTTTTAGGTCATCCACATAGAATAAGTGGGTGACCTTATGCCTTCGGTAACTGGGTGGACTGCAGTTGTATTCCTGAGCTCAACGGATAGTGGCAGAAGTGAGATGCAGAAGAGGAGAGGGCTAAGGGAGTCCCCTTGAAATACTCATCTCCTTATGATGACTGGCTCTGTTTGAACTCTCACATTACCTGATGTTATGGTCTTATCGGCCAGCATCAGTTGTTCTATGCATCTCACTATAGAACTTAAAACCAGGGTCAGTAAATTGGAATCGAAATTAATCTACATGGAGAAACAACAGAAACTCAACGATGTAATTTTTTACGGCCTGCCAGAAACTGACTTTCCAACAAATGAAGATGTAATACAAGGAATCATATCAATTTTCAATACAAAATTGAATGTTAATCTCGATACCAACCATTTACTAGATGTACACAGAATCAGCGCAAAAAGAGATGATAAAACTCAATAATTCACAGAAAAAATATGAGTTATTCAAAAATGCCAAGCTGCTCAAAGGCACTCCTTTCGCAATATCTGAGAATTATACACAAGCTGTCATGGAGGAAAGAAGAAACCTTGTACCTTATCTCGATAATGCTCGCAAAATTGGCAAGAGAGCTTTCCTCAGGCAGAACTTCATAATTATAGAGAATAAAAAATACTCGCTTGAAGATATCGCAAAATGTCCAGAATATCGCATAGTCCCGGTACCGAGCCAACCATCTGGAACAATGATGTCATCATCGCAAGGTCCAGCCGATAACAAACAGAAATCGTACACATTGCGTAATACGACGAAGAAACCATTATAGGATCCCGCATTCTCAACGCCTTGTACTTCCCTAACTGTGATGCATCTCAACATTCAATCTTTGAGGAATAAGGTGGTGGAAGTCAATTCTTTCATAGATGATTATTATAAAGAAGAGAAGAAAAATATTGACATTCTCTGCTTTTCTGAACACTGGATGAAAGAAGACGAAGTGGCGTTCTATCAGCCAGATGGATACGAATTAATTTCCTTCTTTTCTCGTAA